TTTCTACTTCAGGTGCTGCAGTTCTTCTGCATAATCCCATTGAATAAATCGTTGTCCAGGTCTGCTCTGTTGTTGGAGTGAGGAGAGATATTTAACAGGAGTCAAAGAAACAAATGTACTTGACAATGCGCTTCATGACTTTCTGCACTTCCCCCGCTAATATATCACGTGGCATACACTCCTCAGTGAGACGATGCATAATAGTGGGCATGTTGCCATGGGGCGGTGTGAAAGGAAGGTATCGCCTTTTGTTTTTGTAGAATGGTCCCACACAGTACGAAGACAGTATCACATCAAGCATGTCATCATGCTCTTGAATGACAGTGAATGTGCAATCCTTCATCACGATCATTCATCTGGTGAGACTGCAGTCAATGATGTTACCTGGCTCCGTTCCCTTTTCGCAAATAAAAGGATGGATGTTCAAGTCGTTGACGTCAGTGATGCTAGATCGGCCTTTATCAAGAAAAAGAGGAACAACGTAGGGATGCATCATCGCTGCACCAAACAGCAAACCTGTGATACAAGGTAGTCCGGCCTGAGAATTACCAGTCGTTCAATTATAAGGATAGCGTAATTTTAAATCTCTCACATTACAGCTGTCTTTGCAAGTTGCTGTAGATGCTATCTGAGAAGAGAAGAGTATCATTGCTACTCTTAAGACATTATGGCTAGACTACTATGATGTGAACTACCTGAGCAACTTGGGTGAAAGCGCGCAGTGCTTTCCAATCCCGATCCGTGTATCCTGTGATAGAAAAGGTGAGCTGTGAAGGGTGGGTGGGAACAGAACCCTCGCAGGCCTAAGTGAACAGGCAATGGATGCAGTCCGGATCACCGAAGAATGTGTGCGAGAAGTGATATCTGACCTCTGTGTTGAAGATGTCAAGGGTGAAAAGGGAGTGGCGGGTGGGGAAAAGAAAAGAGGAGGAAGAGAATTGTCGCGGACGACTGAGCTGATGAGATCGACAGATGCGGTACGAGAACAAGAAGGAGGGTACCACATCTGTCGCTTGCGCAATGACCAAATTCTATTCCTCCGCTCATGCCTCGTTACGTAGTAGAATGACAATCTTTGTGAGTCGCTGTAGATGCTATCTGAGAAGAGAAGAGTATCATTGCTACTCTTAAGACATTATAGCTAGACTACTATGATGTGAACTACCTGAGCAACTTGGGCGAAAGCGCGCAGCACTTTCCGATCCCGATCCGCGTATCCTGTGATAGAAAAGGTGAGCTGTGAATCCCAGAACAGAAGGAGTTCGATGACGCATCAAGCGAAACTCGGGACCCAGGATAGTAGGAGGAGAACGAGTACTCATGTTGAGTGTTTAATGTACTCGCGGCATCATGTACCAAAGGAACTCATCTTGAAGGGCTGGTGTGGCCTGTAGGTATGATGCCAAGATTTGAGCATGTTTGCGGAGGTATAGCTGGAAGGCCTCACTGGCCCAGCAGCCCATGGTCTTTACCACGTCAAATGGAATATTCCGCAGTAAGTATTCTAGCATGGCACCAATCCTTATGCCGTGGCCTTGCAATGGGTCTAGCCCCGCGTCCTTGGCGGCCTTGGCAAGCCTTGAGATGAATTTGGATTTGGTGAGGGGCCGGTGTGTGTTACCGTATTTGTAGGCGAAGAGAGTGCCGTTGATGGGAGGATTGTTAATGCGGAAGTGATTGGCTAGCGCCACCTCTGGGTCTGTTGGGCCATTCTGCTTGCCCCAAAAGAGATCTTCACCGGCTGGTGCAGACTTTGTGCGTGGTAGGTGGAAAACCATCGTTTGCAGTCCATTGCGATCTGTGTCCCGGCGAACATCCGAGCGTTTCACATGAGCCGTAGGGTCGAAGGTTGTGAGGTTGGGAACTGTGAATTCCCCAACCCTCGCAATGGAATAAAAGGCCGTGGTGAGGCAGCTACTGACTGCAGCATCAAGGGGGACCTCTTGATTGAGTTTCAGCAGGATGTGAGAAATGAAATCGACCGTGTAAGGTTGCTGCTTTTTCCGTTTTGACGTGGTGGGGGTAAGGTTGATGGCCGCTTTCACCAGGGTGTCAATCTGGTTGTCCTTCAGCGCGCATGTGACGCCATGCAAGGTATGCCATACCCGGATCCCATGGATATAGTTTGAAATGGTTTTTCCTGAGTAGATCCCCACTAGGCTCGATATGAAAGCCGACATGAGCTCAGACGATGCGGGTGCTCGCAGCTCCTCCCCAATCGACTTAGAGTCGCAATAGACATGGTACGCCAGGATGCCACTGCCATAGGCTTCCCGGGTGCTGTGTGCCCATGCGTGGATCATCACGTCTTGAATGCGCTGTGCATCTGCATGGGGAAGTGATGTTGATGACAAGTGAGAGTTCAGTGGGAGCCATAGCCGGAGGCGGTCCTTCGCAGGGCAGTGAGGATGTAGGGGAGAGGCTTGAGGTGTCAGATTAGCGGGATAGGCCGTGGTAAGCTTGCGTCGCTTGGAGGAGGTCCTCTCCTTGTTGGCGAAGCTCGTCGTTGAGTCTAGTGCAGTGGTTGAGTGTGTGATGGCCTTTGTTGTTGGAAGAAGCCATTTTTGCGGGCGGGAGACCAGTGCTGCCTTCTGAAGCGAGCATGGGAGCATCATAATTGATGACAAAACACTTGAGAGGTTGGGGAATTGGGATGGGGGGCAGAAGTAGGCTGGTTGGGGGGTAGATCCCGCGGGAAGGGTCATCTGCTGGGTTGTGGGCACTGGGAACATAGCGAGTGAGGATGGAACATTTGGCGTCCTCAACGAGAGTGTGAATTCGTTTGAAGACGGCGTTGGTAGCTTTGTTGCGGCTCCTGCCTTTCCACCATCCTTCAACGACGCCATGGTTGTCTCCATAAACCTTGATGCAAGTGTTCTCTGCACAGTGAGTAATGAGCGAGAGGACAAGGAATTCCATTCCAATGGCTTCTGCCCAGCCAATGTCTCTACTCTCTGCTTTCCAGCCTGGGAGGAGGTGCCATGCATGCCATCTCCCATTGATCCAAATTGCGATGCCAACACCCGAGCTAGCGTCTGAGTAAGCTGCGAGATCAATGACTTTGGTGGGGCCAGGGATGAGTCGGGAGATGTTGGGTTGAGAGAGGCGGGCTTTCCACCAGCGGAGATCTCCTCTGGTGGCTTTGGGAGGGGAATGTGGCATACGTGGACGGTCACCGAAGATGGAAAGCATGGCCTCGAGCGATACCAGGTAGGCTCTACCTGCCGGTAGGACCAGGGAGGCATGAAGAAGTTTTCCATGTAGTTGCTGAACTTCGAGCAGGGTGTGAGTGGGTCTGCTCTCCCACTCCCTAATGGCCTCCAGGTACTTCTCTTTCTTTTTCTCTGGAATGGATATTGTGTGGGCTGCAAGATCCCAAAGGAAGCCAATCAATGGTGTGTATGAGGAGAAGAAGATGTCCTTCGCGAGTTCCCAGGGAATGCCAAGGATTTTTGACAGGCGGTCAATATCCGCAAAGCAGTAGGTAAACAGCGTGTCCTCAAGTGAACGAGGCGAGCATTGCGACAGGTCTTTGATGTCACAAGAAAAATCCTCGTCATACTCCTCAGTTCGCCCGTCAGGCATTGTAGCACCTCGGTACCACTTTTGGCCCCCATCCACAATGAGCCCACCATTCCTAGTGATAATAGCAGTGCGAGATTTACGGAGAGTGTTGTACCTATGTAGATGTTTGCATAGGATGCGAATGAAGAGGTGGTCATCAACCCACTTCGAAAGGGGGCCGATACCTTGTGAATGGAAAATGTCCGCCCCCGCGTCAGCCATTTCTCCATATGAACCTGCTGCTGCTGTAAAACCGAAACAAAAGCTAGAGTCAATTGCAAAACTGTCAGGTCCTGTCCTGACCACCAATCCTGGCCATTGGGAAGGGTGTAGTGGAACTGTGCGATAAGTTTCTGCAACGTCTCATACCACTGCTTGCGACCCTGGTGGAAGGCACCAGACAAGAAGGCAGATTGTGGAGGCTGTGCCCCAGGTGCATGGATAAAGATCTGAGTCAATGGCGGAATTGATTGATGATATGGGCGGAGAAGGTCTAAGGGGAAAGGATAAGTTCTGGACCAAGCGGAACTTTCCTGGTTTCTCTGGTTTGAGGACCAGGGAAAGGGGGGCAGTCTGAAAAGGACCAATGAGAGTTTTGGTTTTGGTTTTTGTGAGCGGACCAATGTAACAACCGGTAGAGTATTCTCGATTAAGTATGGTAGAGAAGGCATCGTGATGTTCAAGTATGGATGGATTATTAGGTGGGGTATAAGTATGTGATATAGCGGGAACACTGCCCATGAAACCAGTCCGCAAACCATTCGGAATATGTGCATATTTGTGCATAAGATTAGCAGATGTAAGGTAGTGCAGCCAGGCTTTGGGCTGGTAAGGGGTGAGCACCTTAGCTGCTCTCACCTTGAGGGCATTCCTGAGCTCTGTGTTCCTTGTTCCCACACCCTGAACACTCGTGGACGTGTGATCGAGCAGTGCTCATGCAACCTCTCGGCCTTTGCCAGTCGTAGCATAGCTCGCAACCTTTGGGGTTGACGAGGTGACCTTCTGTGTTTCAGCGGCAGCAGGTCTTGGTTCGTTTGTCCCAGAGGAATTCAGATGCACATTTGTGGATGTTGTGTCGAAAGCGGCCCAGACATAGGGCGCAGGCCGATGGGCTGGTTTGACCTGCGCCCACGGGAAAAGACTGTTGGCCTTTCGATGGGTGCTTCCCTACTTGGTTGGCAGCTGGGGAACGGTATGGGTGGTAGCGCTTGTCTGTCAGAGAAGATGGGGTTTCAGCGTTGGATTTTTCACGCCCTGACCCACTGAAGTCTCGCTGATGTGGCCGCACTGACCCTTGGGTTGATGCAAGCGAGTTCTGAAGCTGGGTGCCACAGTTGGCAAGCGGGGAGGTATGTTCGGTGCAGCAAGAAGTTTGCCGCCGATGGGGAGCAAGTGAGCAGTTAGCGAGTTGCAAGCAGAGGGGGGGGGGGTGGGGAGCATTGCCATTGCCAGTGCAAAGCGGGCAGGTAGTGTGTCCCAGTGAGGTGCGAGAGCGAAAGCGGGTGGCATGCGTCACATGGGTGGGAAGCGTGAAAGCGAGGGTAGAAAGCAAATGATTTGTCAGGTTTGTTCGATCTAAGGAATGAGGAGATGTACCAGCCTGATCCCTTCGTCGCACTCTGCCTCCCAAATGTCATCGGATAGAGTGCTGTATAAGGATCCATTGAAGATGCTGATGTTGAAACCCTGGTTCTGGGCCAGGCGATTGTGCCACTCCCAATGTACCAGCCCCACGTAGCAAAGGAGGGTCTTTTCTCCTCGTGGGCACATTCTGTGCTTGTGGTTGGTTATGAGCATGAAGAATAAAGCAAGCACCTGCTGGTGCTTTTCTGGCCATGCACATTTCTCGATGTGGACCAAGAAGCTTGTCTTAGCAATGTCGAACTGATGCCACAAGAGGTCGTGGTCTTGCAGGGCTTTCTGCGAGGCTTTGAAGGACGAAATGGGTTTGAAAGCAATGAATCCGTCAACCTTCGTGAGTCCAAACGCGTCCTCTGCGGACGATCTAGAACTGTCAAAAGCATCCCGGCAGCCATCTGGGCTAAAGTACCATAGTTCCATGTATTCCACGTTCTTGATCTTCTGCAGTGCGAACTGGGATGGGCGCAGAACAAGAACATCAGCTACCAGTGTATTCGCATCAAAATCGTTAATCTTGGGCTTCTTTTTCTCCGCTTCGTGGCACTCATTCTCTTCCTCAAGCTCTCACTCTGCATGAGTGCGTTCTTCAAGTTCTCTTTCAGCACAAGTTTCATTCTCGACCTGCTCTTGCCAGAGGTCTATGCGTTCTTGGCGCTCACACCTCCAGCCATCTATCATCTGTGTGAGGGCGTCTGCCCTTGCAACACCAGCATTAACTAGGGCATTGAGCCACCCTGCATATGCATTGGATTCAAAATTGGGCTGCGCTTCAAGAGCCGGGTCGGCTGCAATGTTGTTCATGAATAAACGGGAGAAACCGGGTGATAATAACCAGGCTTTGGTGAAAGAAAGAGATCTGAGAAATTCGTTCGAAGGCTGAATGAAGAAAGAAAAGAAAAGAGGAGGAAGAGAATTGTCACGGACGACTGAGCTGATGAGATCGACAGATGCGGTACAAGAACAAGAAGGAGGGTACCGCATCTGTCGCTTGCACAAAGACCAAATTCTATTCCTCTGCTCATGCCTCGTTACATAGTAGAATGACAATTCAATTCAGCGATACAAAGGTCGATACTGCCTGCAGCGCAAGCTCCAGAATACGGATCGGGATCTTTAAAAATGTTGTTCCAGCACGAAAAGTTGCCACAGTGACTCGTCAACCTCCAATGAAAGTTCTGTTCTTCAATGATTTTAGATGGGACAAGTCCATTATGCCATGTGATAACAAGTCCATCGTCCATGCGATGCCAGAGCATAGGACATTTTTTCCCACAAGGAAATGTCCAAGAGTTATTGTGAGTTTGTACTTTGAACTCATGCTTGCCAAACTCATGTGTAATAGATGAATTGGGATGAGCAAGCGGCAAGAACGTCATGTGTCTCTTCATTAATTTGGGATAGCCCAAAAAGAGGCTGCCAGAGCAAACAAAGATGCAGTCAGTCGATGAGCGATGAGCCAGAACAACTGGCATGACAGAATCCGTGGGACTATGAATCAAAACAACCTTTTTCCCGTCTTTGTGGAGATAGTCGAGGTCACAAGCAACAGCGACTGATGATGGCGTGTAAAATGTAGGAAATTGATCAGCAATGAGCCCGGAATTACTGAAAAAAGCAGCAACCATTTGTTTGGCATAGCGAGGTGTAGCAATGCGCAATTCATGTCGGATTATTGGCGATGTACCATATAAGATGATGTCGAGCACGGAACTGCCAAGTATGACCGAGTTTGTAGCATTGAGAATGGTATGGAGACGAACATGTTCAGTACTGACAGTGTGCTTCAGAACATAGTTTAGCCTGTTGACAATCACTTCATGACCAATTGTCGAGAAAAGGCAGCTGACTGCAAAACATCGCACTATGTCCACAATATCCATGAAACGGATGATTTTTATTAGGACATTGTCCACAAGAACAGCTAGATATCACATTAGTACAGTTGAATCGCGTCTCATGGGCAACCTACTCATGGTTTGATTTTGAAATGGACGAAAGGGGCGTAAGTGGAGCTATGTGTTATAAAAACGTTGAAAAGGGGCGCAGTTCTTTGTGCTCCAATGTCCTTTGCAAACTCGAAACAATTTATCAGTGCAAGTCCAATTTCCCAGTACCTGATTGGTGCGATTAAGGCCAATACAATAGAAAGAGCAATTTTATCTCTCACCTGGAACAGACTCAGTGAGATGAATATGGCAGCAATGTTGAAGTTGTGTGTTTTTAGGGTAAATGTGAAGAATGCTAGTGTAGCAGCTAGAACTGGGAATGAAAGTGTGACCGCCATACTGCAGCAGATCACATCAATATTATGTCGTCATGTCATGTATTTCTAAACTTACTTCACACCATGAGGTTGATAAGTGAGCTTTTGCCTGCTCCTGTCATATACCTGATCCGACCACCCTAATATCAATATCCGCTCCGCTTTCCAACCCCCTCCGCTCCATTCATCCTCCGCTCCGCCTGATCATCGTTTGTATCCGCTCCGCTCAACCGCTCAACCGGTCCCCTTCCATAACATCTCCATTCAACTGGACCTCTTTCCCCTTTTAGATATATGCTTTCCGTTTCGGTACTTAGACCATTACTTCCGGATCACTGGTAATTCATCACTGATCCAACGCGTACATATTGATATCCGCCCCGACTTATGTCTTTCCTATGTAAAGTACTTACAAATGATATCCTTGGTACATAGCTTTACTACATAGTTATCCTGGTCACTGCCTCATACATAGAAGTATATAACATATCATGTACTTAGATATTTTTCCTTAGTCTTAATATTACTTGTCTTCTCACAGTTACATCTTGTGAGAATTCTCAGTAGGACCTTGCCCCTCTGGACACAAGTCTCAACTTGTCGTCACCTCCGACCCTCTGATCCCCCGCTCCAACTTAGAGCCAACAATGTCGGACCCGCTCCAAATTCGGGGCACGTACTCGGCTAAGGGCGCAGTGCAAGAGCTGAAGCCAAGCCCTGACCCCTCTGCCTCTTGGGCCAGCACGGTACCTAACAGCTCCTGCATGCCTGAAGAGGACAACTTTTTTATGCTTGGTCCTACTCATCAATGTTGGCAAAATACGGCGCAAAGAACCTATCTGAATCCTACGCACATTGACTGCTTGATGAGGTTGCAGATAGCATTGTATGATTGGTTGCAGCACTCCGCGAGGTGAGATCCTGGATTCTTATTGGGCGCCGTGGTGACACATGTGTGGCCAGTGAAACTCATCCCGAGGCTTCGCTCAGTTACGGCAGAGTGCCAAAATCACTCTCTCACCCCGCACGCAGTACATGACAAAATGAATGCCGTCTTGATCCATCAGAGTTCGAAGGAGGTTCTTCACGAGTTGTTGAGCTTCCTCATCGGGGACTGCACCTCTAGGACCCTCATCAAGACCTGCAATCCAGTTCAGTAACAGTCACAAAGAGCGGCGAACTGAACCTACTGGCCGTATTGAAAAGCTTTATTTTTAATGTGTCGTCCTGAATCATAATGTCGTATCCATTGGTCTCAGTTGTACATACCCTAGCATTGTGGGATGTCTGCGCCATTTTCATTCGAAGCTCGAAGATTCCTGAGTAGCATTCATGAGTGAAGTACTTCTAGCAGGACTTTGGCACATTGATCAGTCCATTTCATTGATCCCAAGTGCAGGCAGCGCTGCAACATCACCAATCGTTCTTGCATTGGGCTGACCAGGAAGAATAGATAGCAACCAACAATCGTGGACAGTCCGAGCTAATTTTCAGCGTTGTTAGAATAAAATGAATGCTTCTTAGCGCGCAACAAACCTCGGTTAGAAGTATGATTATGCGTTTGCGCCACAATCAAAACCATTGGGCTGTGAACTGATTGGCTCTACCTTTAAGTTAGATGGATCCATTACGCAAATTGTGTGTGCATTTAGCTGATAAACCTTAGCCATTGTTTAGTTAATGTTATCTTCTTCTAGTGATATATTGATTCTTACCCGGCGCTCCTTCCAATTAAAAGCGTGCAAAGTGGCTCTGATCATGACCAGCGTTCCACGTTTGAGACTAGAGTACCATTCCTGAGGCACGATCAGGTCGTTATCGACATTCCTGATATCCAGTTGCCACAGTTTGGCATTGAAATGCTGCTTTACCCTGCACTCATAAATACATGTTATCAGTGCTGCTCTGGCCAATAAGCCTGTTGTCATTGAATGCCGAAAAAACTTGGAATGCATTAGTTTGGCTGGGCATCTTCACATCGCAGCTTTTTACACACCTCGTAGATGCAGACACTTTGAGTCAAACACGTGAATGTGTGATGACGCAGTTCTTTCTTCAGATCTGTTGTGTCTTTAATTTGTCCTGAGGGAGGAATTGTTGCTGAGGCTGGATGTCACTGAACGTAAATGACAATACAAGCAGTGTCAAAAGGTGGATCCGTTTATCGGTCATCTTCCTGTGTCTGTTATGTTTGATCCGGCATCGCAGTGTTCCTTTGTATCTTCTTCGATTGCTTCTTCACTTGGCTATACTTTGGGTCCAGGATCCCGCTTCACTGAAGTTCTTATCGCCTCTTACAATGGTTGTCCACTAACAACTGACATTGAGTTTGAGATTGCACTCAGTCTTGATTTCGCCTGCCTAACAAGTTTATCAATTGGCTTTGAAAGCTGAACATAGCACATACACCATACCCAAGCGCTGGGGTGTTCTAGAGACATACTAATCGATCCTTTCCCACGTTTGACTTCAACCATTTCAGACCTGCTGGGTTCTATTGACTCTGGCTTGAAATTATCTGCCACATGTCTTTCAACATGCTCAGAAACTGACAATGAAAGGATTCTTACACCTGAAGGAATAGAAGTCCTTGAGTGAGATCCAAGCTGACGGGAATGACTCACCAACCACTAAAACCTCAACAACATCATCACAAAAGTTTGTTATAACAATTGTTGTTTTTGCTTTCATTGACAGTTTGCACTTGAGGAGTTAATTGTGGTAGGTTTTGATATATCACGTTGATCTGTGTGAGAATCAGTCAAGTCACGCTTACGTTTCTTGTTCTTTGTGATATCAGATTTCACGACAATTCTGGCAGACTCAGTTTCAATACAATTCACTTGACAAGCGATATCTGCAGGTGCAGGAACTCGATCATGAGCACAAAGATTGCCATCAACTACTGAAAAATCATGGTAAGCCAATGCAGTGGCATCATCTGATCCGAGCAATTGGTGCAACTGCTGTCCTGCAGATACTTTTTCGCTTGAAACAGTAGTGGTATCAACAATGGTTTGTAAGGCTAGAATATGCTGTTGTTTATCCTCAATGCAACTGTCCTCACTACGACAGCAAGAAATCTTTTTTTGGTTAAAAGGTCGCAGGATTAATAGGCCGTCAAGCAAGGTGACTCAGGAGAGCATCACATATGGTGCTTCAGTTCCAGTGCAACCTTCAAGATCTATGATCACACGTTGTAATGTCTGTCCCTGAGCCTTATGAGTTGTCATCGCAAAACCTGGCATTATTGGAAGTTGGGTGCGTTTGATTGAACATTTTTTACCATTGAAAGGATTCATAAATAGCAAATCAACGGTGTCCTGCAATACAACCAGTTCGTGTGGCGCCAAATGAGGCAAAGGATCACCGGATGTTGTTGGTGTTTGCACCACACAAGAGATGGCATGGCATGCACCATTTGCATCTTCAATAAAACAAACACTTTTCAATGTGCCCAAGCAACCATTGACAATTCCAGCACCAACATCAAAATTCTGACAAATGATCATGGGCATTCCCAACACTAGTGGGATCTTCCCAAGATGCTGAGATGTCATTCCGGAATGAATGTCCATCAGATGTTCCTGTAATTTTGGATTGCTAATTGATTGACCCCTATGTTTGTCCATGCATTCGTACCAATAGATGGGCTTTCCAGTATGTTTGGCATAAGCCAGGGTGGCTCGAACATTAATCACATCTTTGACTTCATTTGTTGGAACAATAATGGGCGCATCTAGCCATTCAGCCATATTCCAGTCTGGTCGCACATTCGATAAGAGGCGAGCATTCAAGACATCGAAGTCATCATTTGTACATGCTCCACGTCGCAATCGACTCAAAAGATCAACAAAACTCGAGTTCACAGTGCCTTGCTGCTGTATGACTGTGGTCAGTAAGACAACTGTTGATATTGATAACCATAGCAGTTTGCTGAACAATGCATTTTGACCTTGTACCATACCAACAACATGTGTTGAAGATTTTCTATGCAAGCCATGTTGCCCAACAGGAGGAAGTTGAGCGAAATCCCCTGCAAACACTATACTGATTCCACCAAATATAGCTGAGTTTTCCTTTGCTTCACACAACACTTCATTTATCTGCAGCAAAAAATTACAGCCTATCATAGAAACTTCATCAATTAGAAGGTAATCGACATTCTGCCACATCACGACAAGATCCCGTTTTGTTTTCCCTTTACTACCTTTCATTCTTCGCTGATTTAAAAGAAGAGCTGAATGTAATGTCATTCCAGATATATTGCGAGCAGCTACACCCATATACGACACAAGTCGAAAACGATTGCCTTCATTACGGCATTTGAAATATTCCTGGATGGCAGTAATTACGTGTGATTTGCCAGTGCCACCTGGACCTCCTAAGAACATGTGCAGAGAATCACCACAACTTTGAATGGAATGATTAGCTATCAGCGAGAAAGCCCTGGCCTGTTCGGTGTTCAAACCAAATTCTTGAATCATTGCAGCGATATCTACTGCATGTGCAGGCTCCACGTTCTTCGAAAGATCATGAACGATGATCGGGACATCCACGTTATCATCTGATGTACTTTGGAATACATTCCGAAAAGATTCTCCATCAGCAACAACTGTTGTTTCACCTGCAATTATAGACTTCCCAGCATCAGCACCTTGTGCTTGTTCCATTGTGTGTTTTTTCCACTGTTGCTTTCTCGACTCATATGCATGTTGCCATTCATCTTCAAGAGACATGTCACCATTTTCGACACAATGAACAGCATTAATTTCTGGCGCTAGTTCACTATCTCTAATGTGTTCTACATTGTGGTCATCAAGATCAAAGCGGTCAGCATTTTCCATATGGTGTAGGCAATCCAAAACTCCATCCTGCTGATGCATTCGTTTGATTGTAGAAGATTCATCAATCTTGATCATGTGATCCAAGACATTGTCCTCGATTGAACTGTCATCTAAAAAATCCTCTGAAGTTGTGGTACATTCAAGCACCTCTCCACATACACGATTGCAACGATTTGACGGCCGCTGAAGACATTGAGCATAATGATCATCATGACTATCTCGACATTCATGCAGAATCTGCATATTTTTCATTATGTACTGGAACTTAGGTGGACACTCATGCATGAAGTGTTCAAATGCATCAGACCATGAGGAGTACATGTTCATTAAATCCTTAGGTGCAGACCAAGGACTAAACAAGATCAGCATCAGTCAATAATAGTGTTCTCTAATTTCTGGTCGATCCCGACGTGGTAAAGATGGTCCTATGGGAACAGGTACACAACATTGTTTCGGGTGTCAAATGACCAAACGGTGACTACTGCTCTCAACATGGCCCGACAGAATCGGAAAAGATGGTCATATATGTGATATGTTGTTAGTAAGTTTTTCTATGAAACAACAGGGATCGTTTCTATACTCATGATCATCTTTGTCCGACAATGAAGGAGGGTCCACAGCTTCGAACGATGTCTTCTTGCATCAGATCATCCTCAGAATGAATGTTCTGGTCCTCAAATTCCAACTGGTTTGTGTCTTCATCTTCATCCAAATCAACTTGATTATGTTTACCAACCTTGCGTTTTTCAACATGGGCCACAAAATCCCACAAACACATTCCTCGCAATTCCTTCGCTCTCATTTGGTAGTCCTGTACTTGGTTTGCTTTCGCAATCAGTGAACCATCTCGGTCAGTTGTGATTCCCACTTCATCAGCAGCTAAAGCTTGTTCAGCTAACTTATTCATCGCATCCTCATCGTCTGCTTCACTCAAAATTAGTCCAAGGTGATCTTCATCATTTTCAAGTATTTGTTCATCTATCTCTTGTTCAACATTTTGCGGGTCATGCTGCACATCACATTTGGAATCTGGAAGACAGTGCTTGAAAAATCTTTCGAAAGATGTCCAGAACAGGTTCTGATACTGATGGCTCGTATAATGATCATCCAGATCCATAAGATAGGCTGAAACTTGTTGGGCCAAAAGCTCTTGGCGCGAAATCATTGCATGTGCACTTTTTCTAATCAATTCTTTTGCACAGACAGTAAGCTCATCATCTACAGGATCATACTCGCTTAACTTGCATCTCGCGAGATCCAATACTGCATAAGCAACATGTGCCTTTAGTTGTGATTTCGTGATATAATCTGTGATATAATACAAAATTGCTTTGGCCGATGCGCCTGACGAATTTTATGTCCATGTTACATTGAATGGCCTCCAACATAGTTTTGTTGAAATTATTAACCATACCATCAAGGCACTTCAAACAAATTTCACCAGACTCATTATCAAAGTAACTGGCAGCACAATAATGTTCCTCACTCAAATCAAACCTACACTCACACGGAGCAGGTGGACCTTTCCAGTACTTGAAACATGTTGCATTATGCTTGTGAATTTGGCACACTTTAACAAGATTGTGCACATCTTTCTGATGTTTCAAACGATCATCTTGCAGTCCAGAAGCGGCTGATATACCTCTGACTGCACAAGGATGATGATCCGACGAAGGAACAACATATTGAGAGCCCGGGTCTGGTGGAATCTCATTGCATATACTATTGTCCAAAAAGGATAACAAACGATCCCGAAATTCAATGTCATTCGCGTCAGAAATGCGCTCTCTGATCTCATTAGGATCGAGCCCTCCTTCGAGCCATACCATCAAATGACAATGCAAGGTGCCACATCCCTGTGCCTCTACACAACCATAGTATGCTTTGACAGTACCTAACACTCCTTCAGAAGCTTTGCTGTCACTACCATTATAACCCAATATCGCACAAAAAAACGACTTCATATACAGATCAAAAAACTTGGCTGCAACAGCAGGATTATGCGCAACTAGTATTGACTGTGTCCAATATTCTGGCACCTCAGCAGGTAACAAATCATCTACATTAATGTCGGTGCCTGCTAAAAACTTAACCACAGGATTATAAACATCTGCCGGGTTGATCGTAATGTAAAAATTTGGTAAACCTTTGTCGATCATGAGTGCACGAATCTGATTCCGCATAACAGTCTTTGAAGCACCAGAACCTGGAACATGTGAGGTCACGCTATTCACTTGTTTCAGCAAAGCTCGAACTTTTTGTTCCTCAGGAGTAAAGGCAGTAGAAAAATCACCTTTTCCGACATGCTCAGCTACAACCCGGACGGTCTTGGATGAAACAGAGGTGAACCCACCAGCAATGTCACGAAAAGACGACCGTTTAACTTTTAGACCAGTATGAAGCAATAATGTGTGTCGTTGCAGCATGTTGAACACAATAAACAAGAATGAATAGTGTTCTTGAAATCGATGATCAGCCAAATTAAACAAATGTTTGACCTGGCGTTTCAATGCAAATTTAGAGGTATGATGCGGATGTTCGAACCCGCTGACCCCATCTGGGAACAAAGTAGGGTACACCATCAGAAACAGCTCTGTATTGACGAACTCATTCACAGGCTGTGAGCAATGGGGCACTTGAATGTATCCACCAGCTTTATCTTTTACATGGCGGAGAGCGGCTGCCCTAAGTTGATGCAAAGGAGCATTGACATCAACATCAGTTACAACAACATGCTCAAAAATTGGAGGTAAACTTGGAGCAGCAAGATTGGCATGGTCTTTCTCAACACCAATGTTGTTTTGTACAGGCCCAGCTGGCACACCAGAACTCAGTGCATCATAATGAGATGTAAGAACTTCATGAGCTTTATCACTCGAATCACTCACAGTCTCAATGTGAACAGGAAGAACGTCCTCATCACTAAGGGAAGCTAACCTCTGTTGATTGATAACAACATCACGATAGAGATGATTATGCTCCTGCAACCATAGCAGTGCACTCCTGACCTTCTCTCTTCTCACAATAAGAGGACGTGCATGTTGTCTCATCCATTCCACCGTCAGCGGACGTGAACCTACAAATAAAATACATATTGGAGTCACAACATCCTCCATAGGTGGAGGAAGCATATCTAAAACAGAAGAAGTTCGCTGTGGAAAAATAATAATATTGCCTTTAAGACCACGCTGTGCATTGGGTATATTGTCAGTCTCCTCACATAAGTGTAAAATGAAACACTTTGCTCTGCACATTGCAATCATCATTTCCTCAGCTACCATCAATCCTTGTAGCGTGCCAGGGATGTCACCAATATATTTGTGATTTGCTAAAGCCAATGGCGGTGTTTTCCCCCTATGCACCACAGAACAACACTCCTTACAAAATTTTGCAGAACACTGCACACTTGAGGTAGAATCCGAACACAAACCACGTTCATCATACAGCACATTATCCAACAAGTCGTTGTGCGTCTTGACATCAGTATTATGACATGACCCTATCTCAAAATCAAATTCACCAGACATCCATTCAGAATCAATGATTCAGCCATTGTGGATACAGAGATCAGGGCGCTTTAATGGGGTAAGGTCAATGTCATTCAGAGAAAGGATTTGACAATGTGATTTATTGTATTCTGCAGTGCAGGAAAAACAAACAGAAGTAGAGAGGGCTTTAGAACTCGTCTGCTCCTGGAAAACTTCAAGAACCCTGTCTTTTCGCACATCAGAAATTAATTGAGGCCATTCTGAACGCTTACGTTCCTGTTCAGCAGCATTTAAATCATGTTCCCGTTGTTTATCCACGACATGGTCTCATACCCTTTTACCTTTTGAAAGCAAAGAGACGTATGCCCTAAGCAACTTTCACAATTGAGATAAACTACCTGTATCATCGTAGGAAATCCCGCAGCATCTCAAAATGCGAAGCAATGGTTTTCTGCAGATGTTTTTACACACAGAATTTAATAACTGGATCTGTAAGTTCAGTCGCGCATCGTCCAAACCCTCTTCTTGCAAATCTTCAGTGTGAAACTCATCGCTGGTATTCCAACATACAACTCCATTATCCTGATCATGAGATGCACACATACCCTGCGAAACATGAAGAATGATCCTATCCAACAGCTGATCCTTTGTGCCCACAAAGCACAATCCATGCCATGAAGCCACGGCTTCCAAAGAAGACTTAGACATATGTTCTGCTTTTGTGAACAAAGTGCGCAATGATTTAGAGACACCCTCATACATGCCTTGTTGTCGAAAAACATTCAAGACACCTATAGCTTTTGACCTTCGACGTCGTTCTTGAGCACAAACTAAATCATGGCAGATGCTTTGCACAATAGTCCATAAAACAGTGCCCGATATTGCTGACATGTCCGCCAACAGCAACTTTTCCAATATACAATTGACTAAATCCGATGATGAACTAAATTCAGCGGCAACTTCACAACATGCAGTAAAATCACAATGTTTAGAACATGTATACAAAGATACACACTTGCTGTACAGAAAATGCCTCAACAACATGTCACGTAGCTCCGCCGCTGAACGAATCTTCCTTAGTTCAAAACCATGCATAGCACATGCCTGAACAAGCAGTGAAATTTCAGGTGAGAAGGGTCCAATACGAACACCAGAACGACATGAACCAAAAAAGATGACATGGACAATTGACTCTGAACATCTACAGTGGCTCAAAAAACTGTCCACATGTTTTCACATTTTTCACTATCTATGATATTGTGTGAGAATGTACAAACACATCAAGGACATGCTGGTACCATATTGGAGTACTACTTCAGGGCTTCCAATTGAGCCATATGGTGTGGGAATCGGCCAAGATATGGTGGAGATATGAGGCTTACAAAATGATGACTCATGCGGACAGTTTTTTGACTCAAATATTTTACAGTGATAATCAGATATTCTAGTACTCTGTGTGACCCTCCCTTGGCTTTAATTACTGCCTCTATCCTTCTAGGCATACTCTCAATCAATTTCTGGCAATATTCTGCTGTAATCCTTGCTCATTCCACTGCTACTCTCTCCCATAGCTCCTATACTACTTTAGGGGGGGTTTCATAGACTTGAAGCTTCTTCTTGAGTGTTTCCCAGAGATGTTCAATGACATTGACATCAGGAGACTGTGCTGGTCGGTCAAGAACTTTGATATTATGTTCTTTAAACCATTGTCTGGCTCTTCTATATGTGTGCTGGGGATCATTATCCTGTTGGGAAATGATGTCTTTTTCATCAATCCCTAATTCAGCTATGCTAGACAGCAAGTGGTCATTTAGAATGTCCACATACTGCTCAGCATCCATCCTCCCCTCAACTTCAGCAAGTATACCCACACCATTCCATCCCATACAGCCCCGTACCATTAGAGAACCTCCTCCAAATTTGACAGTCTCACTAACCTCTCTGTCTGTTAGAAAATCCCTCTTCTTTTTCCACACATATACCTTCCCATCTGACCCAATCCTATTGATTTTGGTCCCATCTGACCATATAACATGCTTCCAGTCCTCTACAGTCCAGTTTTGATGGGCCAAGCCAAAGGTAGTCTTCTCTGTCTATGTTTGATAGAGAGAAGAGGCATTTCTTCTTTGTTACTGCCTTGAGATGAACTGCCTTGAGAACATTCCTCACAGTTTGTGAAGAGACAGTGGTGGTGATGGTGGAATTGATATAATGGGTGGCTTGGACGGCATCATTAGCCTTTTCTGTAGTGATATGTTGGATGATAGCCCTCTTATTAGCAGAGGTGGACATCCTCCGCAAAAGTTTTCCTTGTCCAGATGGCTTCTTTGATACACTTGGCCAACAGTAGACTTGCATACTTCAGTTCTAGAGAAAATTTGATGAGCAGAGAGGCCAGCATAGGACAAAGAGAGGATATTATCCCTTTAAGCAGAGGAGATGGCTTTCATGGTGATTATGACTATGACACATGAGACATTCTGGTTTATATAGTTAGATATAGTTTTAAGAGTATGCCTAGAAGGATAGAGGCATTAATTAAAGCCAAGGGAGGTCACACAATGTACAGTGGCTCAAAAAGTGTCTGAATGTTTATGCATTTTTAAGTCATTGGATAATAGCAAGCCAGCACCAAACTATAACAAAAGGGTATAGGGATATGTCTGAATCCCTATATCAAGGCTCAAATCTGAGATATATAGCGTGGGAACCTGACCATATATGGGCAAAGCTATGATAATTCTAAATACATCACTCATTCAGACACTTTTTTGACTTTATATTTAAACCAAGACTATTCTATGATTCTAGTACTTGGTGTTACCCCCCCTTGGCTTTAATAACTGCTGCAATCCTCCTAGGCATACTTTCTATCAATTTCTGGCACTCCTCTTCAGCAATCTTTTTCCACTCTGCTGCAACTCTCTCCCATAGTTCAAATAGCCCCTTTGGAGGACCTTGATAGGCAGCAAGTAGTCTTTTGAGTAATTCCCAGAGATGTTCAATGGGATTGAGGTCTGGAGACTGTGCTGGCCATGATAGAACAATGATATCATGGTCTTCAAACCATTTTGTAGCCAGTTTTGAGGTGTGTTTGGGGTCATTATCTTGTTGAAAGATAATGTCTTCTTCATCAATTCCTGACTCCTGCATGCTTTTGAGTAGACACTCCTCTAGAATGGAGATGTACTGCTCTGCATTCATCCTTCCTTCCACCTCACAAAGAATCCCCACACCATTCCACCCCATACAACCCCATACCATCATACTTCCTCCTCCAAACTTCAGTGTACCCTTGACTTCTCTTTCTCCTAATGGTTCTCCTGCCTTTTTCCACACATATTCCTGGCCATCTGACCCCATTCTATTGATTTTTTTGTTTCATCTGACCAAAGCACCTTCTTCGAGTCTTCCATAGTCCAATGTTGGTGCTTTAAAGCAAAGGCCAGTCTTCTCTTCCTATGAGCTACAGAGAGAAGAGGTTTTTTCTTCTTGGTTACAGCCTTAAGATTGGCTGCCTTGAGGGTGTTTCTAACAGTTTGGGTGGAGACAGGAGTGGAGATGATGTAATTGATGAACTTGGTAGCTTGGGTAGCATTTGAAGCCTTGCCAGATAGAATTTGGTGAACAATAGCTCTTTTGTTCTGTGGAGTAAGCTTGGGAGGACATCCCATTTGATGATTTTCTTTCTCTGGCATGTGCTGCTTTATGACTGTAGCAATAGTAGACTTGTCAAGACCAGTTTTTGAGGCAATTTGCCTAGTAGATAAACCAGAGGTACAGAGAACAAGGATATTATCCTTTTGAGCAGAGGAGATGGGCTTCATGATGATTATGTTGAATTTCATAATCTTATGTGGGTTTATATATTCAAATAATATTACAATCAGACCATATTATTGTTATGACACCACTTTAATTAAGAGTATAATGTATGAATGGTCTGATTTTGTAATTTTAATAAAAAGTCAAAAAAGTGTCCCAATGAGTGATGTATTTAGAATTACCATAGCTTGCCCATATATGGTCGGGTTGACACACTATATATCTCAGATTCTAGCTATTATATAGGGCTTTCGGACATGTCCCTATACCTTTCGGTTATTGTCTGGTTCTGCCTTGCTATTGTCCAATTACTTGAAAATGCATAAACATTCGGACACTTTTTTGAGCCACTGTACTAGAATACCTGATTATCACTGTAAAATATTTGAGTCAAAAAACTGTCCGCATGAGTCATCATTTTGTAAGCCTCATATATCCACCATATCTTGGCTGATTCCCACGCCATAGGGCTCAATTGGAAGCCCTGAAGTAGTACTCCAATATGGTACCAGCATTTCTTTGATGTGTCTGTACATTCTCATAAAATATCATAGATAGTGAAAAATGTGAAAACATGCGGACAGTTTTTTGAGCCACTGTATGAGACGAAGAGACTGCCCTGATGAGGGACGAAGACTGGGATAGATGACCACCATCGGCGGGTTGAACATAATTTTGATTTTCATCAAGTATACATGAATTTGCTGGAGCAGAGCATGAAGATCAATAGTGTCATAAAAAAAGACAACGAAACACAATCACCTCAAGAACAAGACGTAGAACGAACATAAGGATTGCAAGCGGGATCCCGGTCGTCCTGACCAACTGTTCACCACACAGCAATCCAATTCATCCTGATCAAAACATCAGAATCAAGACTGAGTGCAATCTCGAACTCGACATCAGTTGTTAGCGGACGACCATCGTAAGAGGCGATAAGAATTTCAGTGAAGCGGGACCCTGGACCCAAAGTATGGCCAAGTGAAGAGGCAATCGAAGAAGATACAAAGGAACACTGCGACACAGGATCAAACACAACAGACACAGGAAGATGACCAATAAACGAGGTCATTACAGTGGTACAATGTTGATGAGTACGATGGCGCTGGTAGGGGCAAGTTCAACGCATGAGCATTCAGGTCTAGACCGATCAATCAACACAGCATTTTGTTTTTATAGGGATAATGTTTGATCGATCTTCACAGCCACTTAACAAGTTTGGTAATCCCAAATCTACCGCAAAAGTTTTCCCATCAAATGCGATAAAACCCTCTACTGAAGTATCGGGAATATCTTAAGTATGTCCTATGTGCTCACAAAGATAAGAGGTTTCTCACGGGTTGAGTACCAGATAGGCAGAAATCACATTGTGAGGGTGAAAATATGCAATGCTGGGAGAATAGATCAAGAATGCACATCAAGTGCATCCTTAAAAATGGGTCAAAAGCTCTGTCACACAATGCAATATTATTATTTTGGTAATTATCGATCATCAGTGTAGACGTAGTGCTGCCGTGGTCCGGTCCTGAACCACGGTTCGAACCTGACCAATGGTCAGGTTTGTCCTTGGTTTGGTCCATGGTTCTGAATTTTGTGTGGACCGAACCGGAATGAGGTTCATGGTCCGCTGTCTCCCAAATGGTTCGGACATAGGTTTGGACGTTCCCAAACCGTTCTGAACCCCGAACCAAAGCTTCCTTGCGACATTGGCGAAGCACACACTTATGGTCATTTTGACTTCTGGATCCTCGAGATTTGCACCGACTTTGAATTCTGTCTGGTTCCCCATGGTCACTTTGACTTCTGGGATCCTTGAGATTTGTATCGACTTTGAATTCTGTCCGGAGGCTCGCATCCCGCACCTCCTGCTGTCCAATAAAGCTCAAGGTATGAATTAACCGTCAAATCAAGCGCAATAAACTCAATAAACTGATTGATATATTACATTGAGGTTTGGATGGACGCCAATGGTGATTCGTGTCACCAGGCGATGAGGTAGGAGCTTCTCGCAACACACAATGAGCTAAATTATTGAGATGGGACTTGTATAACAAGATTCCCTGGATTGAACTCTAACATCGGACCAACCATAGGGCAGAACAGTACATGTCCCCCGAGCCTTTTGATCAAACTCTCACTAAACCTGACATGCAGCAGGCACAATATCAATCCCATCGAGTATCCGGTCCATCTGCCTCAGATACTACGATGGCTGTCATGCTGTAGCACATGCCATCAATGTGCAAGACCGAGAGAGGCCCATTGAGGGCTGGGGAACCTCAGGTACGTTCTCTTCTCGTTCACCATGCCCTCAAATCGAAATGTAAGAATGAACATCTAATTACAGATACAAAACAGATTCGGTTGTTGTTTTGGTCAGTGATCTAGCAGAACAGCGAGCCTTGTGTTTTGTTTTGACCTTGTCTTCTGCTCGTGTATATGCACAGCGCTACATCATTGACCGCAACATTGTCATAATGACAGATCTGGTGACGCTGGTGGTTTCTTAGTGTTCATTCATTCACGCTTCGTTCTCGTGCGTCCGATTCAATTCACAGATCTGTTCTCCCCTTGTCCCCCCATCATCTGCAACACAGTGGGAAATATTGTGTGCCCGCGGCAGCACCGTAAGTGTCAGCGCATTGTGTACTTCGTGTGGAATAGAGCTGGAGTCGAGATTGCGGAATATCAGAAAGGACAAGCACGACATGGCTAAACTTTGGAAGGAAGGAAGCTGGACACGTCAAGGCTATCAACTCCGACGCGATTTCAACTGTGGCTAAGCAGCTGTTGGCAAATAAGCATCCCGTTCTACCTTTTTGGCTATTTGAGCCTACATGTTCATTAGAGATCGCATCACGCGCCGATGAATCTGCTGTGCTTGATGCAGCGCCTTATGGGCTTCCCTCTCGCAGGACATACAAGTAACTGATATCATAATACATGTCATTCATGCATCTAATCCTGGCACGTGAACGGTCCACACGGCAGTCTTGCCTGCTGTCGACATATAGTGCAAGAATGACTCTGAAGTTGTAGTCGACAGCCTGCGCAGATTTGCACGACAAAGACCCAGAAAATGAGTTCTTGTTGTCGTTACATGCTGCTAGTGAGTACTGCAAGCATGGTTGAAAGTTCCTTCCAATTATACAGTGTCTATGTTTTTTTTGCTAGCTGTAAAAAAAATTGGGTTTGGTTTGCATTCAAACCGAAAAAAACCGAACCTGACCATTTTGAACCGTTCGCAAAGGTCCAGTTCGAGGTTTGGCGAGTCTAGTAGAACCAGACCTAGGTTCGGTTCTCGGTTCTTGCTCAACCCTCTATGAACCGGACCAAACCAGACCGCGGCAGCACTATGTAGATGCATGATTTCACGATGTGTTAGCAGAACCATGATATAAGTACATCAAGGTTTTGTCGACGGTGGACCTCGATAAATTCATGTGCTGTAGCGTACTCCAGAAACTCGTGTGGAAAATATCATCAACACACCCAAACAAGATCCTCGAAAACAGCAATAAGCGACATGAAGAATGAAATGAAACCACAGGGCACATACTATGGTAGCCATGATGGCCAGAGTGTCGGCAAGTATGTGTTATAGAGAGAGGAACTGTCAGCGCTCAGAATTTGTGCATATTATATCTAGAAGACAAGTTGTATCTCAGTAAATGTCTTGAATGAGGTGATAAACAATGTATGTCTCGTCATGAATTCTGAACCTGCAAGGAGGGCAAAGCCGGGAGCACAGATTTTGCATCAGTATGGGCGACTGGTTCCATCCCTACGTATTATGCAATCAATGATATTAAAATCAGGGAGCGTTGAAGTGCCACAAACGAGACGAGGTAGACAGCCATCTCTCCTTTGGGAGCCTCGATGGCACTATAACTCTCTGGCGGCACTAAGTAGTCTTGGTTGAAAAGCTACGGTAGCGAATGATAAGTGATAATAGGTGTAGTTAAGTGGAGAAGAATACCTTGAAATGATGAATGAGTGCCTCGTTTTCATTCATCGAAGCATGGTGTGGCAGAACAATTTTGTCTTATTTTAATGAAACCCGTGGGCATTTTTTTCAGATGCTGAAGATGAGCATGGCTGAGTAAAATGAAATACATCAACACACACGGAACATAGACAAACCACTCACCGCCCAGTCAATTCAGTAACCTCTTGCAAGTCCTTATATGCATACATTAAGTCTCCCGCCTGCGTCTGTGAGTGAGATGAGAAGGCGGCGGTTAGAGTTGTATGCTGTGTGGTTCAGCAGTCCAAGGTTCTCTAGCAAGTCCAGATAGAACCAGGACTGAATCCTACAACAGAATGCGGTCCCACACGAACAAAAACCAAAACCAAACCCACAACAGCACAGGGATGAAAACACTTACTGGAATCCTAGCAGCAACAACACGATCCGCATCCTTTTGCTTTCGTCCTTCGCCACCCTCACTCCTACCCTCACCATCTCCCTCAGTGGTACAGCTATCAGCCCATATGCAGCTGCAGACCAGAGGTACTTGATCATCAAGTCTTCTGTCCATTTGTATGTGATGCATATGGGGTTAGTTGGAGGTGTGGGAAGAGAATGAGAATGGGTGAAATGTTGAAGGGGGAGGGAAGGATGAGGGTATTTGTGATGGGAAGTGGTGTTTTGGAGAATGAGAGGGGAGATCAGGTCCGTCGAAGAGGAGTTTAATAGAATGGAAGATAAGGAGGGACATTGATCATAATAGGAATGGATCAAAAGTTGGACATCTTGCAAGATAGAAGAGAAACCCCAAATGATGGCGAGTTCAAATTAGCTGTGAGTCGATATTAGTCGTGCTCGAGTCGGTTTGGTTAGACCAGAATGATTTCGAGCGAAGAATAAGCACAGATGCAAGCACAACTGGCAATGAACATCGCAGTTCATTCAGTTGGTTAACCAGCGATCTAGGGTATATCAGTTTCAAGAATATAGCCATGCTCGCTGTAACACACAATGAGTAAGCTCAGCATTCTGATTTCTCCATTAGTATCACTGCTGGGTATGCGTGATTACGCAGCCAAATCGACTTCTTTTGCAAATTTCACTGAGTACGCAAAAACATTGAACAAGATACTGGGTGATGCAACTCTTCTGTTTCGTCCGCAAAAATCTGAATCTGGCTGAGTATTGTTCTCATGATGCTATGACAGTACATAGTCACAAATGGTACAATCGGCGCCAAGGCCAAGCACCTCTGTGGCGAGCACACCTTGCACGAAGAAAGGTTTCAGATTGATTGAGAGATAGAAGGTTCGAGGCCCGGTAACTAGTCGTTTCCGTAGCTGCACAATAAGTTTTCTTTATATTTGTTATTCCCTTAATCACAGGCTTCGTACTTATCAATAATATTTAAAAGATTGAGTTTATGTACTTAGCCCTCAGAACTTCTCCCAATCACAACTAGGCTGGTATCTGGTTAACATTGTGCAAGATTGTACTCTACCTTGTGCCATCATCTAAAGTCTTGAAGAAACTTCTACTTGCTGTCACATATTTTTTAACCTTCTCCAAGCCTTTCCTCTTTTCTCTCAAACACTCTTAGTCACTCAGTTAACTGGTCTGGCCCACCATGTTTATCAACAGTGACAACCCCAAACCAGAAAACAACAAACCATGTCAAAAATCCCCCTGTTACAACCTTCGCTCGCGCACACGCGCTAGAGCTAGTTCGTTGTCAACTCCCACTTGTATTAAAAACTTCAAAGTAGGTGATTTCTTTGGAGATCTTGCTAACGAAGCGTTATCTAGTGCTCAAACTCTGGCGGAGGGCCTCGGTCACAAGGCCGTGCTGCCCGACTCTGTAGAGTCCCCTCTAACCTCGGTGGGGTGGCCATCGGAGGCTGAAAACCGTAGTTTGTCCGCAGCAGGACCCGTCCGCTCGCACAGCGACGTGGTCCGTGCGAGTAGCCCTGTCATTGACTTCAAAGTCGAGCAGGAGAGTAACATAGCCCTAGATGCGGTAACAAGTGTTGAGATCAACAATAATGTTCATACTCTCACTGAGAGAACAACCGAGCCCATCACCTTTAGAACCGCCAATGAGCATATCGAGTTCACTAGTGAGAGTGAGGATGGTGACGACTGTCCATGGGTCACAGTCGACCACAGAAGCTGCCAAGGTAGAAGCCAGGCCAAGAAACCTGATGAGCTCTCAAGTGAGCGAAATGAGACGGTAAAACCTACCAACAATAAAATTATCAGTGCCGACCGCTCTATGCTAAACGAGCGTGAAGGAAGCATTGATCAGCGCAAAATCACCCACTCCATGACCGAAGATGGGTCAAGAGGTGAAGGTCCATCTAAAGGAAAGGGTGTGGACCCAAGGAACTGGGGCACCCTGGAGAACGACGAGGAAATAGACATTGAGGGGCAATGAGCAGCCCTCGAGTCGTATAAAGCTGCCAGGACCCTAGCAGATGAGATCGCCTCCCCTTGAGATGAAATGAACGAAAATGTACCAAAGGAGAGACTCAGACACTCCCCAAGGACGGAAGACAGTTTCGATCAGGCAATTAGAGTCAGAGAAAAAAGAACAATCAACCTGGCAGTAAAAGAGGCAGAAAAAACGCCTGCGGAAAGAGTATGATCAGAAACTGAAGGAAGCGCTGTCGGGAGCTCAAAAACCGAAAGCAAAACTCACCTTCATGACCCCTCTGATAAAAGAAACAACCCAATTAACGAGCTGGTCGGAAGGGTAGTAAACCCGGAGACCAGCAGATGAGAGCAATGTCGAACACCCCAGGCCATGGAGCCAGTACATCAGGTAGTGCCCAAGTCATACATTGGGCAGGTGTTAGGACATATAGGTCAGGGAGACGATGATTCTTCAGACCCTGAATCGAGCTCCTCCTCGAACAGCTCCTCGAGCTTGAGCGACGAGACAAGCTCTGTTAGCTCAAGAAATGAAGCTCTCAAGAGGGGGAACAAAAAGCTAAAGAAACGTCCGAAAAAGAGGAGAAACAAGACTACCTTGAAACCCATAGCTCCTACAATGTACGACAGAGCAGTCAACTCCCACGTGTTCCATCGGTTCATCACCGAGGGAACTGCATATGTGAAGGACAGGAAAGTCCAATCCAAGAAGCGGGTATTCGTGTTATTGCACTACCTAAAGGGCAAAGCCCATGAATTCTACATCCGGGAAATTTCTGGAGACCCTTACCGCTGGAGACTCTGCGAGTTCTTTACCGAAATGTTCAACTACTGCTTTCCCATCAACTTTAGGACAAAGCAGCATGAAAAGTTGAAACAGTGCTTCCAGAATGATAAGTCTGTACGGGACTATGTGTATGAGCTCAATGAGCTATAGAACATGATCGGTGATGTAGATGACCGGGACACAGTATCTCGGTTATGGACTGGTCTATCAGCCAAAATGCAAAGGGAACTTTGGAAAAAGGAACTGAACCTGGAGGTATCTACCTTCAAGGAAGTTCAGGCTGCGGCCGAAATAATTGAGATAGCTCATTCCGTACTGATGGGGAGGGAAAAGCGATCTGCCCAGAAAGACAATACCGCTGCTGTCAAAGTTTCAAGCGTGACGACTTTGGGCAGAGCACCCAGAATAAAAGGAACTAACGCACCTCACCGAAGAGGTAGAGACAAGCACCAGAAAGAGAGGAATCTAATGTACGATTCAGGGATCCCATAGCCCGAAGGGCAGAGGATCGTCTACAGGGACTGAAATTCCCCTGGGATAGCTCAGACAATCGTTCAAACACGGTTGCCTGGGACGACCCGGATCGATTCTGGGTAACTAAGCTTAAAGATGAGGACACTTATGTCGTAATGGACTTCCACCACGATGGGTGCGGGATAGAAAAAATGAGGATATCGCGGCACCAGCTGGAGGATCCCCATTTTTGAATCGATCGGGCTTATTGGCTGTATCTAGGACGGCTCTTGAGCACACAAAAGGGCTGGAAAGGGCAGCAGCTGCATATGCAGGAGAAAAGATGCACCGACAAGAGGGCACCTATGGGAACCCTGATTGAGGATCGCATCGAGTGGTGGTTAGAGGAGTATATAGCTCCTACCTCAGGCTATTGGTCCTTGTCGTTGGACTGACATTTTGTCTGTAAGTGGATCAATGAGCAAACTTATCAGGTCACCAACAATGCCCTAGCGATAGAAACATACCTGGCGAGAAGAACGGTCTTGCAGTGGCATTGGAACCCCGGAAGATGGTATTGCCGCCACTTAAGGAAGGCAGCCCTGGAATTACACAAGGACTTGTCAATGGTTCAAGACAACATCTATGTAGGACTTAATGAGTTGTTTGACTCAACAGTCAAGAGGCAGCGTGCCCCAAGAGGCGTGTTGCTAAATAATGATGAGTTAGCATCCTACCAGGCGACTGCACCGTTTGATGAGTGCACTGTCTATGGAGTACAAGTAGTGCAGGGCATGTACCCAGTGTTACAATGGAATTCAGCAACGACCAGGGATATGATGAGAGCTATCCCCAAACCAATAGTGGTGGTGGTTCATGTGAACGGGCAACCCGCCCGGGCGCTAATAGACACTGGATCACTGGCGGATTTCATTTCCCTAACAACAGCTGAGCAACTGCAATGCCAACTTACCATGCTGGAAAAGCCCCTAACGATTCAGTTAGCCGTTCAAGGATCCCGGTCCAAGGTGAACTATGGGACCGAGGTTCAATTTCAGTACCAAGGTACAGACTATTGTCGGTACTTCGACGTGATCAACCTTCAGAACTACGATCTGATACTCGGAACTCCGTTTCTATATCAGCACTGTGTGATGATCGTGTTTAACTCACCTAGGGTAATACTTGGGAGCATAGAGCCACTCCCGTTGAAAGGCAGTGGGGTGACAACCCTTGAGTCACGAGCAGTGGAGGTGCTTGAGGGCGAAATTGAACAGGCTAGAAAGCACCTGTTAGAATTAGCGAGGCCCCTGTGCATGAGAGCCACGGACACAAGTCTGCCCCCTTTGCAGGCGATAAATCACATGGTGCCCCTCATTGATGAAAACAAGGTATACCCGTGGCGACCCTCTCATTGTCCCGAACCCATGAGACCCCAATGGGCAGAGAAGCGAAGTGCATACCTTGCGTCCGGGCGATGGCAAATGACTAGTGCCAGAATTACAGTCCCTATGCTCTTTATACGGAAACCAGGGACCAACCGCTTGAGAACTGTGGTCGACCTTCGTGAACGCAATAAAAACACGCGTAAACTAACCTCACTGTTGCCCAACATGGACGGAATTCTGAGACAAGTTGCTAGGAAAACGTACCGCTCTTTGATGGATAAACAAGATGCCTATGAGCAAATATGGGTTGTGCCAGAACATGTACCGCGCATGGCTATGACCACACCAGATGGTAATATGGTTAGCCATGTCCTGCAGCAAGGGGACTGCAATGCACCTGTGACTTACCAGGCGGTAATGAATTATTTGTTTGGCGAATATATTGGGATCTTCATGGATGTGTATCTGGATGATATCATTATATATTCAGATACGCTGGACGAGCACATAGAGCACATATGGAAGATCATACAAATTCTGGAACACAAGCAGCTCTTTCTGAGCGAAAAGAAGCTCAAGTTCCTTCAGCCCAAGATGAGGATCCTGGGACAAATAGTGAGTAATGACAGGATCCGAATGGATCCCAACAAAGTCGACAATGTTCTGAAATGGAAACTACCTACCAATCAGGACCTCTGCCGTGGTTTTATCGGTGCAGTGGAGTATTTGGCCGATGATATACACAAAGTGCGGATCCCTTTAGGGGTCCTATCAGCGGTGTGTGGTGATACAGTCCCTTTTCATTGGGACAAGACCGAACAGAGAGCTTTTGAGGAAGTGAAACACTATGTTGCGGCGTGTTCAACTGACAGTAGAGTACCACTCACCTATGGTCCAGGTCAAGAGCAGGTCTGGATGATGACAGATGCCTGCCCAACGGGGGTTGGGGGCGTCATAGCTCAGGGGGCCGATTGGCGCAAAGCAAAAGTTGCTGCCTTCTACTCGGCCAAGCTGAACGCCACGCGGCGCAACTATCCTGTCCATGAACAGAAGTTGTTGGCGGGCATTGAAACCATGCTAAGACACCGGGACATTCTGCAGGGATGTCCTTTCGTCTGGTTGATGGATCATAAAAGTCTGACTCACCTGTTGAATCAGAAAAATTCAGGCGGATTCCACATTTCAAATCCTCTGGAAGTCAGGGGGGCACTTGCATTGTGTCTGGTTCTTGGGATGACACTGTCCGGCTGTGGGATGCAGCAACAGGGCAGCCATTGGGCAAGCCCTTGCGGGGGCACACTTCTTGGGTTAATTCAGTCTTGTTCTCGCCGGATGGCACTTGCATTGTGTCTGGTTCGGACGATCACACTGTCTGGCTGTGGGATGCAGCGACAGGGCAGCCATTGGGAAAGCCCTTGTGGGGGCACACACATTCAGTTCATTTAGTCTCATTCTCGCCAGATGGCACTCGCATTGTGCCTGGTTTGCAGGATCACACTGTCCGGCTGTGGGATGCAGCAACAGGGCAGCCATTGGGCGAGCCCTTGCGGGGGCACACAGATTCGGTTAATTCAGTCTCATTCTCACCGGATGGCACTCGCGTCATGTCTGGTTCAGAGGATCACACTGTTCGGCTGTGGCATGTTGTAGCTCCTGAGACCTCCTCATTCCCTCCAGATAGAATTTGCAGCCCGCCTCACACACAACAGAGCTCTATCAAGTCAACCAATACTTGGGAAAATTACTTCATTTGCTTCTCATCCAGCCTGAACCATGCACTTCACAACCCTGCTGAGATACTCGTGGGCACCTCTCATCATCATTCCGAGTCAACCCCTTTCATGCTGGGACACGATGGATGGATAGTAGGGCCTGTTCGTCGGCTCCTTTTCTGGGTACCTCATGGTTCCCGAGAGCCGTTTTATAGTCCTGGAACCTCATTGGTGATCCTGTGAGGAGGTATAGAGCTTGATTTGTCCCGCATGGCACATGGGAGTCACTGGTCTAATTGCTACGATCTGTGAGTATCTAGCTGCTCTACTGTCCCCCGCAGTTGCTAAATCAATATATCTAGCCCTACTTTATTATAGTAGTTCGTTCATATAGATGTTAGATCGACGTACGTGAAGCATATCATCGAGTTCGTTTTGTGCTGATCTCAGCTGCTAAAAGCTGTCACCGAGATGCCCCGGTGTATTGTGGGTGATCAAATTAGGTTACTCTTCGTTACAGGTGTTTCATTGTCCTTATGTATCTCCCGCCTGCGGCGCTGCGTCCTGTGTGTGAACATATTTCCCTTTCTTGTGTGACGTGTTCTATCCTTTAAGCTTCAAGATCTTAAGTATGTCCTATGCGCTCACAAAGATAAGAGGCTCCTCATGGGTTGAGTACCAGATAGGCAGAAATCATGTTGTGAGGGTGAAATATATCTGCAAAGTACTCAAGAGATAGGTTAATACTGAACGTGCAACACACCCTTATATGCAATGCTGGGAGAATAGATCGAGAATGCGTATCAAGTGCATCCTTAAAACCGTGGGTCAAAAGCTCTGTCACACGATGCAATATGATTATTTTGGTAATCATTAGTATAGATGCATGATTTCACGACGTGTTAGCAGAACCATGATATAAGTACATCAAGGTTTTGTCGACGGTGGACCTCAATAAATTCATATGCCATAGCATACTTCAGAAACTCATGTGGAACGAAATATCATCAACGCACACAAACAAGATCCTCGAAAACAGCAATAAGCGACATGAAGAATGAAATGAAACCACAGGGTACATACTATGGTAGCCACGATGGCCACAGCGTCGGCAAGTATGTGTTATAGAGAGAGGAACCGTCAGTGCTAAGAATTTGTGCATATTATATCTAGAAGACAAGTTGTATCTCAGTAAATGTCTTGAATAAGGTGTTAAACAACATACGTCTCATCATGAATTCTGAACCTGTGAGGGTGAAGCTGGGAGCACGTATTTGCATCAGTATGGGCGAATGGTTCCACCCCTACGTATTATGTGATCAATGATAATAAAATCAGGGAGTGTTGAAGCGCCCATACAAGACGAGGTATACAGCCACCTCTCCTATGGGAGCCTTGATGGCACTATAAGTCTCTGGTGGCACCGAGTAGCCTTGGTTGAAAGCTACGGTAGGGAATGATAAGTGATAATAGGTGTAGTTAAGTGGAGAAGAATACCTTGAAATGATGAATGAGTGCCTCCGTGTTTTCATCCATTGAAGCATGGCGTGGCAAAACGATTTTGTCCTGTTTGAATGAAACCCGTGGGCATTTTGTTCAGATGCTGAAGATGAGCATGGCTGAGTAAAATGAGATACATCAACACACACAGAACATAGACAAACCACTCACTTCCCAGTCAATTCAGTAACCTCTTGCAAGTCCTTATATGCATACATTAAGTCTCCCACCTGTGTCTACGAGTGAGATGAGAAGGCGGCGGTTGGAGATGTATGCTGTGCGGTTCAGCAGTCCAAGGTTCTCTAGCAAGTCTAGATGGAACCAGGACCGAATCCTACAACAGAACACAGTCCCACACGAACGAAAACGAAATCCAAACCCACAAAAGCACAGGGATCAAAACACTTACTGGAGTCCTAGCAGCAACAACACAATCCACATCCTTTTGCTTTCGTCCTTCGCCACCCTCACTCCTACCCTCACCATCTCCCTCAGTGGCACAGCTATCAGCCCGTATGTAGCTGCAGAACGGAGGTACTTGATCATAAAGTCTTCTGTCCATTTGTATGTGATGCAGATGGGGTTAGTTGGAGGGTTGGGAAGAGAATGAGAATGGGTGAAATGTTGAAGGGGGAGGGAAGGATGAGGGTATTTGTGATGGGGAGTGGTGTTTTGGAGAATGAGAGGGGAGATCAAGACTGTCTGAGAAGAGGAGTTTAATAGAATGGAGGACATGAAGGGGCATTGAGCATAATAGGAATGGATGAAAAATTGGAGGTCTTGCAAGACAGAAAAGAAAACCCAAATGATGGCAAGTTCAAATTAGCTGTGAGTCGATATTGGTAGTGCTCGAGTCGGTTTGGTCAGACCAGAATGGTTTCGAGCGAAGAATAAGCACAGGCGCAAGCACAACTAGCAACGGACGTCGCAGTTCATTCAGTTGGTTAACCAGCAATCTGGGGTACATCAATTTGAGAACATTTAGTGTCATTGCTTGTATGCGTGTTCATGTGGCAAAAAAAAACACGAACAAGATACTGGGTTGTGAACCGATTCACCAGAGGTGTTCATGATTCACTGCGGAAACGAGAAAATAACTCCACCCTAATCCAAGCAACTTTCCACGTATAACCCGATGTAGGAAGTACTACGAAGTACCTTTTCCAGACTCAAATTTGACCTGGCGAATTTTTCAACACTATGGACCTTTGAGATCAATTAAACAGACCCAAACCATACCATCAGGTTAGAGCAAACACGTCTAATCAGACCAAATACCAATGCTCGTTTTAGCACCGAACAATCTCGATCTACAACTTGGATGGGACAATACATGTCCAAGGAACGAAAACAAGTTGCTCTACAAATGAGCTTGCTAAATGTCAAAGACCCAACAATTCATCGTTACACTGGGATTAGTAAGCGGTCATTGCGATATCTTCGGAAGACGTATCGATATCTGATCGGAGAATAGAAGTTGAAATACTCCTGTGTATGTAGTGAATTTTTTTTGGCCTAGCGTTCTGCAAATGGCTGTAATGGTGCTTTGCAACTGAACGCCAAATAAATTACCATTATAGGAAGCCATGGGGTACCGGTTAGAACACAAGCCCCAACCCATACAGAGCTGAATCTGATTCAGTAAATTTTCTACTGAAAGGATGGTGCTGAATCGAGGGTGATAAGCTGAAATTCAGAATCAGCACTCCAATGAAATTAACTGCATGCAGTTTCAGTGGAAGTTACTCTGAAACATTCAGCACCAGTGCATTTTCCAGTGATTTTCATTGGAACTACTATCTACAGTGTCTAGCCAAACTCGCCCTCTTGAAAAACAATTCATACACAACCCAATGTTCGAGTTAGCATCAAGCATTTCTAGATGAATCCACTCGTTTTTTCGCTAAGTCCCTGACCACAGCCAACATGCATTTGCAACCACATAACATCCTTCAGCTGCAGCTGCCTTCGGGCACTCGAAAATTCGCCTTTACCTTTGAATCCAATGAATGACCCATAGTAAGTTTTTTTCTAGTACGGTCAGCTAAACTAAGTTTATATATGTCTGTAGACCGTTGAAATGACCATCGGACATCCACCCAAACGAGTACCTGCACCTGTTGACGATAGTGAGACGGAACCAGAGTCCGAGTCAGAGCTAGAGGCTGCGACAAAAGTCCAACCTTTCTCAGATGCAAGTCTCCCCTCGGTCTATTTTATATTTGAACTAACATGCATCTTACAGAATTTGACTACACTCAAAGCTGTGAGTGCACAGGCTGTCAAGACGAAGGACATGGAGGGTGTAAAAAGGGCTAGAATTTCATCAATGCGTCATAAGACCACCATGTAGTAGCTCTTTAACCAAGTTAAATCAGTTCGCGACCCTGGGTCAAACTCGGCCCTACATCATGTCTAAGCCTTGGACTCAGAACACGTGATGTGTGCTTTGACATGTTGATAAGTGTGTCACCAACCTTTCTTAGGCTGTCGTCTGCAGGCTCCCCTCAACTTCAAGAAATGGGCTATCAAAGGTGTCGATGTGAGACTTACAAGTGCAATGGTGGACTTGTACCAGAGCATACACTTCGTGCTCATCAGCAAAGTGACCTACTTCGCAAAACTACCATGTCGCAAACTCATTTCAGACAAGCTGGTGAACACTTTGTGCATGGGGCTGCGCAGGACCCTGGACCTGTTCCTCGTGGCTTTGCTGTGCCTCTGCACGACCCGCAGCCTCCGATATCACCGGACGTGGACTTTCAGGATCCTCCCCGCATGTCCGAATCTCGAATCGAACAAGAGATGTTGGATTATGGTTTCCTAACTGGCGAAGATCTTGATCTTATGACTCATGGGAGTGCCCTACCAAATCTCGGATCCAATTTCCATAGCCCAGAAGCCCTCTTTGCTGCCGTCGATCATTTTGGCGCATATAACAGAGCTACTGCTGCAGGCTCACGTCCACTCACACCTCATGCAGCTCACCATCTACCACCTGATGCTGAACAACGTCGATTCGAGCGTGACCTTGTGAATGCTATTGAAGAAATGCAACACCAAGAGGAATCAGTTCTCGAAGACAATGATGATGAACTGGATCACATCGATATCAATATCAATGCACAATTTGATTATCCAGACGATGACATAGATAATGAGATAACAGCACCAGATGTGGCCGATGAAGACGATCCTGATCCTTTCATGCCAGACGAAGGTTTCGCCTCAACAGATAATTCAAATCTCACTGAGGTCCCCCTGCATTTGATCACCATATATGCGCTTGTCACCTGGCTGCACTTGCAATTCCACCTCCCTTGTGTTGCTTGTAATGCACTGCTGACTATCCTCGGTCTTATCCTTATCTATCTCTCTCTGGCTATAGAGGTTCTCTTCGTCATGCTGCAGTCGAGCAATGAGTCCATTCAGTCACATACCCTGTATAAAACAGGCAGCCAAGGGTGAAAATTCCCTGTTCCACACAGGCCAGCGGACATTGGCCGACCAAAAATATTTTCCTGTGTCTAACGTTCGGCCAGTGGTCTCAATGGGAGTCGATTTTAACAGGTGGGCCCATATGTAGTGATACTTGATATTATCATGTCGGCCGATGGCCAGGGAAAAATGGTGGAGTGTGTGATGTTATCAGCTGGGCTGATGTGGAATATAGCAGCCGTGTGTACCAGTCGGCCGATGATGGGTGTGAACATATGGGCCAACTGATGAAAATGAATGTCTGATATAATTGGGTCGGCCAATTGCTATCGAGTCGGCCAACAGAAATGGATGTCTGATGCTATCAGGTTGGCCGATGAAAATGAATGCCTGATAGAATTGGGCTGGCCAATCAAAGTGAATGTCTGATGCTATCGGGTCGGCCGATGGAAATGAATGCCTGATGAAATCAGGTCGGCCAATTGCTATCGAGTTGACCGACAGAAATGAATGTCTGATGCTATCAGGTCGGCCAATGAAAATGAATGCCTGATAGAATCGGGTCGGCCGATCAAAGTGAATGTCTGATGCTATTGAGTTGGCTGACAGAAATGAATGTCTGATGGATGCTATCAGGTCGGCTGATGAAAATGAATGTCTGATAGAATCAGGTCGGCTGATGGAAATGAATGCCTGATGAAATCAGGTCAGCTGATTGCTATCGAGTCAGCCAATGGAAATGAATGCCTGATGAAATCAGGTCGGCTGATAGCACTGATGCTATCGAGTTGGCCGATGGAAATGAATGCATGATGCTATCAGGTCGGCCGATCAAAATGAATGTCTAAAACCATGAAAGTTGTTATTATGCTTAACTTTGTCAACAAAATGTTGTGGTCTGAGTCAAGGGACATCAGCCGACTGAGATATGACTGAAATCCGAAACATCAGCTGACCAAGATATGACCAACATCCAAAACATTGGTGATAATGAAAAAAAACCACAAAAGTTGTAGTCCGAGTCAAGGTACATCGGCTGACTGAGATATTACCAATATCCGAAACATCGGCCAACTGGACATCCAAAACATCAGTGATAATGAAAAAAAAAAACATGAAAGTTGTAGTCCGAGTCAACGTACATCGGCTGACCAAGATATGACCAACATCCAAAACATCGGCCGACCAAGATCTGCTGAAATGCAAAACATCAGTGATAATGAAGAAAGAAAAACATGAAAGTTGTTATTATGCTTAACATTGTTAACAAAATGTTGTAGTCCAAGTCAAAGGACATCAGCCAACCGAGATATGACCAAAATCCAAAACATTGGCTGACCAAGATATGACCAACATCCAAAACATCAGTGATAATGAAAAAAACCATGAAAGTTGTAGTCCGAGTCAAGGTACATCGGCCGACCGAGATATGACTGAAATCTGAAACATTGGCAGACCAAGATACAACTGAAATCCAAAACATCAGTTGGCTGAGATAAGACTGACCAAAATTCAACACATCGGTGATAATGAAAAAAAATGAAAGTTGTTATTATGCTTCACTTTGTTAACAAACAAAACATTGGCCAACCAAGATATGACCAAAATCTGGAACATCAGCAGACCGAGATATGACCAAAATTCAAAACATTGGTGATAATGAAAAAAAAAGAAAGTTGTTATTATGATTAACTTTGTCAACAAAAGTTGTAGTCTGAGGCTAAAGAAATCTGAAACATCAGCCGACCAAGATATGACCAAAATCCAAAACATCAGTCGGCTGAGATAAGACTATGACCAAAATTCAACACATTGGTGATAATGAAAAAAAAATGAAAGTTGTAGTCTGAGTCAAGGTACATCGGCTGACCAAGAGAGTGTCGGGACTCGGTAGTCGATACTCGGTAGTCGAGACTTGGTAGTTGAATACAATGGTCTATACTCCATAGTCTATACTCCATAGTCCTAACTCAATAGCCTTAACTCAACACTCGGTACTCGGTACTCAGTACTCGGTAGTCAATACTCGGTAGTCAAGACTCAGTAGTGGAATACAATGGTCTATACTCCATAGTCCTAACTCAATAGCCATAACTCAATAGTCTTAACTCGGTACTCGGTACTCGGTACTCGGTACTCGGTACTTGGTAGTCGGTAGTCAGTAGTCAGTAGTCAGTAGTCAGTACTTGAGACTTGGTAGTCAAATACAATGGTCTATACTCCATAGTTCTAACTCAATAGCCATAACTCAATAGTCTTAACTCAACACTCAGCACTCAGTACTTGGTACTCAGTAGTTGAATACAATAGTTTATACTCCATAGTCCTAACTCAATAGCCATAACTCAATAGTCTTAACTTGGTACTCGGTACTCAGTACTCAATACTCGATATTGGGCACTCGATACTCAGTACTCAGTACTTGGTACTCCACACTTGGCACATTTATATATGATTCAGGTCCCTTTCAAAATGATGTAGGATACAAAACATTCTTGCACTTTGCCCCTTTGAGAGGGAAGTGTCCTAGGGCATTTAGAACATGTTTAGTAGTATATATGAGGAGATAGCCAACTTTATTTGGCCCCCTGAAGCACCCTACATCAATGTATATGGCATATATACATAAGAGTACAAAAGTTGTTCCTATGTGCTTATGTCTAGGTGAATAGACCTTGAAATTATATCCCCATCATCTATTCAGCAATGGAAACAATGTATCAGGAGCCCAGGATCATAGTAGAATCCCTTATTGTATAGTGTACCCCCCCCTCCTGGTGGTTTACCCTCTGGGAATTTTTTTCCTGTAGTACCGGACCTCAAGGATAGCAGGGAGTCCATTCCTAAGCTTATTTGGAGTGTATATATCATATAGCCAGCCAAGGACACACATAGGATCCTTCTACAGGGACAAAATGATAGAAAATCGCATTTTTAGCATTTTTGATGTTTTTCAGTATCTTACCCTTGCACATCTGGTTAACCCTGTTCATATATCATTAGAATAGTATATATACTTCCTTTCATGATGAAGATCAGTTCAAAATAGGTTGTTGGTTTGAGATACTGCATATGCTTGCTATTTCTACTGATAAGAGATCAATACCTTCAAATCATCGAAATTTAATAATCAGAAACTTGGAGTACATTCACAATATATTCAGTATCATATGTATAGATTTACAGAACAATCCAACAAGAATTGAATGCTGAGGAAGTGAAATAGATAAGAAATTGAGTGTGAGAAAGCTCAAAGACCCAAAACATCGAAAATGGTCAGTTGAGCAATAGTAGGACTTTAATGCTAGGTCAACACACATTTACACTACATCCTTTCCACTCACCCCCTACCCTCAGGGCAGTAGGTAGTATGGGTTCCTTAGGTAGTTTACAGTCTATCCTACATATTTTTAATGAAATCTTCAACTTGAATTATATATAAATGTGACTTTGTGCAGTTGCCTACCTGTTGCAAAAACCAAAAGACCACTCCAGGATCAATTTCAACCGATCATTTTGGACCCGGTTGCCTTCAAATGGGTAGTACTCATCTAGGCGAACACATTGGTGGTCTAATCTTGAAAAATGGTTCAGATCTGAGAAAGTTATGAGCTATAATTCAGATTTTGGTCATATCTCGGTCGGCCGATGTTTTGCATTTATTTGGCTTATATCTCAGTCAGATGATAACTGATTGACATGATAAGACTATGGATATGATCGCCTTTACTGGGGCTACAACTGTCATTAACAAAGTTAAGCATAAAAACAACTTTCGGTCGGCCAATATTTTGGATTTCAGTCATATCTCGACCATATCTTGACTAATGTTTTTGATTTCAGTCATACCTCGGCCGTTTCAGTCATGTCTCGGCCGATGTTTTCAATTTCGGCCATATCTTAACCGATGTTTTTGACTTCAGTCATATCTCGGCCAATGTTTTGGATTTCAGTCATGCCTCAGCTGTTTCAGTCATGCCTCGGCCAATGTTTTCAATTTCAGCCATATCTTGACTGATGTTTTTGACTTCAGTCATATCTAGGCCAATGTTCTGGATTTCGGTCATACCTTGGCCTTTTCAGTCATGCCTTGGCCGATGTTTTTGATTCCAGTCATACCTTGGCCGTTTCAGTCATGTCTCGGCCGGTGTTTTCAATTTTGGCCATATCTTGACCGATGTTTTTGATTTCGGTCATATCTGGGCCATGTCAGTCGTGTCTCAGCTGATGTTTTGGATTTCGGCCATATCTTGACTGATGTTTTTGACCTAAGTCATATCTCAGTCAATGTTTTGGATTTCGGTCATACCTTGGCCGTTTCAGTCATGCCTTGGCCGATGTTTTTGACTTCAGTCATATCTCAGCTGGTGTTTTGGATTTTGGTCATATCTGGGCCATGTCAGTCATATCTCAGCTGATGTTTTGGATTTTGGCCGTATCTTGACTGATGTTTTTGATTTCAGTTATACCTTGGGCATTTCAGTCATGCCCCGGCCGATGTTTTTGATTCCGGTCATACCTCGGCCATTTCAGTCATATCTCAGCCGTTTCAGTCATGCCTCAGCCAATGTTTTTGATTTTGGTCATATCTCAGCCATTTCAGTCATGTTTCGGCCGATGTTTTGGATTTCAGCCATATCTTGACCGATGTTTTTGATTTCTGTCATACCTTGGCCATATCAGTCATGTCTTGGCCGATGTTTTCAATATCGGCCATATCTTGACCGATGTTTTTGATTTCGGTCATATCTCAGCCATATCAGTCATGTCTTGGCCGATGTTTTGGATTTCAGCCATATCTTGACCGATGTTTTGCATTTCTGTCATACCTCAGCCGTATCTTGGCCATTTCAGTCATATCTCGGCCGATGTTTTGCATTTCAGCCATATCTTGACCGACATTTTGGAGTTTGGCCATACCTCGGCTGTGTCAGTCATGTCTCAGCCGATGTTTTCAATTTTGGCCATATCTTGACTGATGTTTTTGTGACCAACAGACCCATTGACCGACCGACTCATTGACCGACCGACCCATTGACTGACCAGTGTCCTCGGCCCATCTGATATATCAGATCCCTGACCCACTCAGCCCACCTGTTTGTGTCAGACACATACTTCAGCCACTACCTACCAAAGTCAATAGAAAAGTCTACATACTATGGGCCCACCTGTTGGTATCACAAACACACCTTGACTGGCCCACCTGTTTGTATCAGGTACATATTTCATACACTACCTACCATACACTATCAACCAAAGTCAATTGAAATGTCTATGCTTATCTACTACACCCTACACCACATACCATAGGCCCACCTGTTGCTATCACAAACACACATTGACTGGCCCACCTGTTTGTATCAGGTACATATTTCATACACTACCTACCATACACTGTCTACCAAAGTCAATAGAAATGTCTACACTTATCTACTACACCACATACCATGGGCCCACCTGTTGGTATCATATAAACACTTGAAGTCAGCCCACCTGTATGTAACAGAACAATACATTGATGGGCCCACATCAGCTGGCCTGTTTGGAACAGGGAATTTTCACCCTCAGCTGTATGTGTTTATCAAGAGTAAAGTGACTGCAGTATGTGGAGCAATCGAGTTCTTGGCGTTGACAAGGAAGTATTCACTCTACCTGTCTGCCCTACTTGTCGTGATGTTTTCCCCCCCACAATGTTGACCAAATCACACGACACTTGCACGACTTGTGCAGTTGACCTCTTTCTTCCAGATATGACAAAACGGGGCAATCAATGGGCTGTGAAAACGCCCATCATCAAATACCCTTACCTTCCTTTATCTGAGCAGATCAAATCCCTCCTCAAAATTCCAGGTCTTGAAGCGGTTCTCGATGGTTGGCGCTCCAAACCTCGCATCATTGGTGAATATACAGATATTTTCGATGGTGCTGTGTGTCGCACAAAGCTTAAGGGTCCAGATGGCAACCTTTTTTTCTCAAATCTTTCTCATGAGAAGAGTGGGCCAGATGGGGAACTCTGTATAGGAGTAAATCTTGGTGTCGACTGGTACATTATCCTTGTTCAGGCAATAGTACTTACATCCATTTTATTATACTAGGTTCTCCTACATATGAAGCAACATAGCACCATCCCACTCGTCATGTCCAACATCATTCTCGATTTGCAATCTTCCACCGGAGTACCGGTAAGTCCATCATGTCCACCTTCACTTGCTGATTTATTCTGTTCAAAGATATTGAACCTCGAACCTGATGTGCATGAGCATTCTTCCTGGACCGAAAGAGCAAAATCCCAACCAAATCCAGTGGTTCTTAGGCCCTATTATCTCGGACTTGCTGCGCCTATGGAAATTCGGAGTCAGAGTGCCAACTGAATCTTGTCCTCAAGGTACATACATCCAAGACACTATCATGAGCATTACAATTTCATTATGGATTTGGTCTCAGGTCGACTTGTTCGTGTGATTTTGGTCGCTGTGGTCTGCGATAAACCTGCTGCGTAGAAGATTGGAGGCTTCACATCACACTCTCACACAAAATTTTGTACAGCATGTTGGATAACAATCGAGGACAAGGATAAACCATGCGCTTTTCAAAATGGTAGTACATGGACAGCACTACTATCTACCTTACACACTAATGAAAGTCCTTTCTCAGCTGTTCAACCATGGACAAACGAGGAGCAATGAGAACTTGGTGAGCACTATCACAAGCTCACCACAGCAAGCGCATGCAAGAACTTCGTCAAGGAACATGCTACTCGATACACACAACTCTCTCGTCTTCCATACTTTAATCTCACAGAACAAATAGTCATTGATCCCATGCACAACCTCTTCCTTGGCGAGTTTCTCCATCCTGCACTGCTGTCAAGAAGTTCACACCTCTCATCTAGCACATATTGCAGTAACATATCTCCGTATTATACGAGTGAATGGACGTGCATAATATCCCGTATGATACAGGCCAGCGGACCATGGGCCGAAGGTAGATATATCCTCGACTATGACGGATGGGCCGGGAGTGTTATTATTCCCGATGGAGATGGGTGGGCCCATGTAGGGAATATGTAGAGTAGATGAGTGGGCCGATGGACATGAATATTCAATAGACAGATGGGCCGAGGTAGTTGGATATTATGTAGATGGGTTTACCAAGGTAGATGTGTATCAAATAGCCGGGTATGTCAAGGGTGCTTGTTATCACATAGACGGGTGGGCCCAGATATATATCATATTAGACGGGTGGGCCGACGAATTAAGATTATTTTGTAGAGGGGTGGGCTGAGGGAGTGGTGAAATATTTATTATATATATGGGTGGGCCGAGGAAACGGTAAAATATTTATTATATATACGGGTGGGCCGAAGGTAGTCGTATATTGCATAGATGGGTAGGCCGACATGGGGGTATATAATATAGACGGGTGGGCTGAGAGAGCAATTTATTAGATATTATATAGATGGGTGGGCCGAGGTAGTTGGATATCACATATATGGGTGGGCCCAGATACATATCATATAGACATATGGGCTGAGGTGGTAGTATATTATATAGACGTATGGGCCGAGGTAGTAGTATATTATATAGACGGGTGGGCTGAGATGGCTGATATCATATCCACGGGCCAGGTAACATCTATCGAGTTCTGGGTAACATCTATTGATGTCCGGGTAACTAATATTGAGTTCCAGGTAACTAATATTGACTTCCGGGTAACATCTATTGATGTCCGGGTAACTAATATTGAGTTCCAGGAAACTAATATTGACTTCCAGGTATTTCATAAATTGAACAAATCACTAAGTACCGAGTACTGAGTTCCGGGCATCGAGTTCTGGGCATCGAGCACCGAAACATGAAACTAAAATACAACATTTTGTAAATTGAACAAATCACCAAGTACCGAGTTCTGGGCACCGAGTTCTGGGCATCGAGTTCTGGGCATCGAGCACCGAAACATGGAACTAAAATACAACATTTTATAAATTGAACAAATCACCAAGTACCTAGTACTGAGTTCCGGGCACCAAGTTCCGGGCACCAAGTTCCAGGCATCGAGTTCTGGGCATTGAGCACTGAAACACAAAACTAAAATACAACATTTCGTAAATTGAACAAATCACCAAGTACCAAGCACCAAGTTCCGGGCACTGAGTTCCAGGCATCGAGTTCTGGGCATTGAGCACTGAAATACAAAACTAAAATACAACATTTCGTAAATTGAACAAATCACCAAGTACCAAGCACCAAGTTCCGGGCACCAAGTGCCGAGTACCAAGTTCCGGGCATCGAGTACCGAGTGCTGAAACCCAGCACTCGGCACTCAGTACTCAATACCCGGAACTCGGTACTTGTGCTGAATATATTGGTAGATCTTAACCTATTGATGTCATGAGACTATGGACAGACTCCCCTTGACAAGGGCTACAATTTTGATTTTATCTAAAAAGTTCCCACGGTCCAAGTGCTTTCTTGAACCCTCCATTTGCAAGTATTTTGCTTATATCTTACTAGGATCTTAACCTATTGATGTCATGAGACTATGGATAGACTCCCCTGGACAAGGACTACAACTTTGGTTTTCATCGAAAAAGTTCCCACGGTCTACAATATTGAGTACCGAGCACCGAACACCGACTACCAAGCACCGAGCACCGAGCACCGACTACCGAGCACCGAGCACCAAGCACCAAGCACCAGGCACCGCCACGGTCTACAATATTGAGTACCGAGCACCGAGCACTGAGTACCGGGCACCGGGCAGATATTTATCTACAAAGTTCCCATGGTCAAAGTGCTTTCTTGAACACTCCATTTGCAAGTATTTTGCTTATATCTTACTAGGATCTTAACCTATTGATGTCATGAGACTATGGATAGACTCCCCTAGACAAGGGCTACAACTTTGGTTTTCATCGAAAAAGTTCCCACGGTCTACAATATTGAGTACCGAGCACCGAGCCCTGAATACTCGGTACTTGGTACCTACTTGATACTCAGACCTCGGTACTCAGTATACAATGCTGAATCTCTTGGTACTCAACTGAGCACTGAGTACTGACTACCGAGCATTTAGTATATTGAGTATTGAGTATTGAGTACCGAGCACCGAGCACTGAATACTCAGTACTCGGTACTTGATACTCGATGCTCAGTACCTACTCAATACTCAATACTTGGTACTCGGTACTTGATACTCAATGCTGAATATCTTGGTACTCACCTGAGCACTAAGCACTGAGTACTGACTACCAAGTATTTGGTATTTAGTATCAAGTACCGAGTATTGAGTACCAAGCACCAAGCACTGAATACTTGGCACTCAGTACCTTCCTGATACTCAACACTCAACACTCAGTAATTGGTACCTACTCAATACTCAATACTCAATACTCTGTACTCAGCACTGAGCACTGAGCACTGAGTTCTGACTACCAAGTATTGAGTACTGAGTATCAAGTACTGAGCACTAAGCACTGAATACTTGGTACTCGGTACTTACTTGATACTCAAGTACCTGTATAGTGTACCCTCCCTCAGATACATTATATCACTGGACCAGGACACCTACACGATCCTTCTACAGCAACAAAAATTGATAAATCATGTGTTTCACATTTCTCATGTTTCTGACTGCTCTATCCTTGCATAAATAATCCAATATATTCATATATCATTAGCATAGCATATATACTTGCTTTTCATGACCAGGATCAGCTCAAAATATACTGTTGCTTTGAGATGGTGTATATACTTGATATTTCTACTGATAAAAGGCCCGTATCTCTGAATTATTGAACTTTAATGATCAGACACCTAGAGTATATTTCACATATATTCAGTATGATGGATCTAAAATTACAGAAAGATCCACCAGGAATTGGGAGCTGGGGAAGTGAAATAGATAAGAAATTGAGTGTGGGAAACGTCAAAGCTCAAATGCCCCAAACATCGAAAATGGTCAGTTGGTGTATCCTTGGCTATGGGCAACCAATTCAAACACTTCTATGCCACATCCCTCCCACCAACACTCCACCATGTATCCTACACATTTTTAATGAAATCTTCAACCTGTATCATATATAAATGTGACTTTGTGTGAACAGATGTCAATTGTCACTTTTCACATGTATATTGTTTTGCTTGTCATTCACTCAATCCTGGATGGATCTTTCTAAGCCTTTAAGGCTATCATTTACCATGTGGGCTTTTGATCAGTAGAAATATCCCCTTTACATCAGATCTCAAATTTCCGGCCTAAATATCACTGATCCTTAGCATAATAAATGTAATAATGACAGTCTATGAGTAACTTGGATAATCTGTGTAAGGGTAGGGTGGTAAAACATATCAAAATGTCACAATTGTGATTTGTCAAGTGTTGTTCCTATGGAAGGATCATGTAGGTGTCCTGGTCTATCTATATGATGTATCTACTACCAATATACATAGAAATAGACCCCATACCTGGGTGCTTGGTGCTTAGTGCTTGGTGCTCAGTAGTGGGTACTCAGTGTGCTCAGTGCTTAGTTGAGTACCAAGATATTCAGCATTGAGTATCAAGTACTGGGAACTGAGTACCAAGTACCAAGTACCAAGTTTTGAGTATCGAGTAGGTACTGAGTACCGAGTATTCAGTGCTTGGTGCTCGGTATTCAATTTTATAGACCGTGGGAACTTTTTCGATGAAAATCAAAGTTGTAGTCTATGTCAAGGGGAGTCTATCCATAGTCTCATGACATCAATAGGTTAAGATCCTAGTGAGGTATAAGCAAAATACTCGAAAATGAAGGGTTCAAAAGTGTTAAGGTACATATTGAGTAGTGAGTAGGTACCAAGATATTCAGCATCGAGTATCAAGTACTGAGTACCAAGTATTGAGTATTGAGTAGGTACCGAGCATCGAGTATCAAGTACCGAGTCCCGAGTATTCAGTGCTTGGTACCCGGTGCCCGGTGCCCGGTGCTCGGTACTCGATATTGTAGACCGTGGGAACTTTTTCGATGAAAACTAAAGTTGTAGCCCTTGTCTAGGGGAGTCTATCCATGGTCTCATGACATCAATAGGTTAAGATCCTAGTAAGATATAAGCAAAATACTTGCAAATGGAGTGTTCAAGAAAGCACTTTGACCATGGGAACTTTTTAGATAAATATCTGCCTGGTGCTCGGTGCTCGGTAGTTGGTGCTCGGTAGTCAGTGCTCGGTGCTCGGTGCTTGGTACTCAATATTGTAGACCGTGGGAACTTTTTCGATGAAAACTAAAGTTGTAGCCCTTGTCTAGGGGAGTCTATCCATGGTCTCATGACATCAATAGGTTAAGATCCTAGTAAGATACAAGCAAAATACTTGCAAATGGAGGGTTCAAGAAAGCACTTTGACTGTGGGAACTTTGTAGATAAAAATCAAAATTGTAGCCCTTGTCAAGGGGAGTCTATCCATAGTCTCATGACATCAATAGGTTAAGATCTACCAAGATATTCAGCATTAAGTATTAAATACCGGGAACTGAGTACTAAGTACCGAGTACCGAGTATTCAGTGCTCGGTGCTCAGTGCTTGATGCTTGGTGCCCGGTGCTTGGTGCTTGGTGCTTGGTAGTTGGTACTCAGTGCTCAGTGCTCAGTTGAGTACCAAGATATTCAGCATTGAGTATCAAGTACTGGGAACTTAGTACCGAGTACCAAGTTTTGAGTATTGAGTACTGAGTATTCAGTGCTTGGAGCTCGGTACTCGATATTCTAGACCGTGGGAACTTTTTCGATGAAAACCACAGTTGTAGCCCTTGTCTAGGGGAGTCTATCCGTAGTCTCATGACATCAATAGGTTAAGATCTACCAATATGTTCAGCATCAAGTATCAAGTACTAGGAACTGAGTGCCAAGTACCGAGTATTGAGTTTTGAGTATCAAGTAGGTACCGAGTACCAAGTATTCAGTGCTTGGAGCTTTCGATGGCAGGGATGGAGCCCACACTCTCGAAAATTGTGGATCCCTCTGCCATTGAGGGTCTCATATTTGAGCTGAGCCAAGTTCAACTAGCCCTGGACCCATCACCTACTCCCCCAACTGCCAGAGACATTGTGGTGCCGGATGATCCATGCAACCTTTTCCCATAATACGATTCTGCTGATGACATGGATGTTGAGGTCAAGGTTGAAGTTGAAGGTGGTGATGAGGGTCATCTGGGTGAGGTTGAAATGTCTACATAATTTGGAAATCATTGAGTTCTGGGTAACATCTATCGACGTCCGGGTAACTAATATTGAGTTCCGGGTATTTCATAAATCGAACAAATCACCAAGTACCGAGTACCAAGTTCCAGACACCGAGTTCTGGGCATTGAGTTCCAGGCATTGAGCACCGAAACACGAAACTAAAATAAAACATTTCATAAATTGAACAAATCACCAAGTACCGAGTGCCGAGTGCCGGGTTTCGGTACTCGGTACTCGATGCCCCGAACTTGGAACTTGGCACTTGGTGCCCAGAACTTGGTACTCGGTACTTGGTGATTTGTTCAATTTACGAAATACCCGGAACTCAATATTAGTTACCCGGATGTCAATAGTTGTTACCCGTAACTCAATAGACGTTACCTGGAACTCGATAGATGTTACCCAGAACTCGGTACTTGGTACTTATACCAATACCTAGGCCTATCTGTCTATATGATACGTATCTGGGCCCACCCGTCTGTCTAATATTACCCGACGTTGGCCCACCCATCTAGGTAAAATTCCCCACTTCGGCCCACCCATCTATGTAATATTTCCCTACATCGGCCCACCTGTCTATGTAATAAATAATTCACCCCACCCTCGGCCCACCCGTCTATCTAATATTAACCCACATTGGCCCACCCATCTATATAATAAATATTTCACCTCACCCTCAGCCCACCCGTCTATGTAATAAATAATTCGCCTCACCCTCGGCCCACCCGTCTACCTAATAATACCCCATGTCGGCCCACCCGTCTAAGTAAAATACCCCACATTGGCCCACCTGTCTATCTAATATTTCCCTATGTCGGCCCACCCATCTATGTAATAAATATTCCACCGCTCCCTCGGCCCATCCGTCTACAAAATAATACTAATACGTCGGCCCACCCATCTATATAATAATATTTGCTATACATCTCTCCTCAGGTCTATAATATATGTCAATCCTACTCTACATATTACCCACATGGGCCCACCCATCTCCATAATAATATTTCTCCTGGCCCATCTGCCATCGTCGATGATATATATAACATCAGCATAGATGGGCCCACCCGTCAACATCGGAAATAATATTTCTCCCAGCCCACCTGTCAACATCGGGAATATACATAACATCGGCCCATAATCCGCTGACCCGTATTACACAGGATATTATGTAGGTCGGGTGACCCGTATAGTACGGGATTTGTCACTGAAGGGGCTCCATCTAGGTCTTGTAAAGACAAATTTCTATAATATCTGGGTTCAAGGCAAAATTCTTCATGCTAAACATGAACTGGACACATTTCATGAGATGCTTGCCGACATAAGTTTTGTTTATATGCCCATCTTAGTCCCTAATCTTTGTAGTTTATCATCCCTAAATCATGCAGCAAATTACCAACCAATATTGGGATGCCGTCCAGTGGTTCCCTCACCACAGATCAATGGCTTCTTCTTGCCACCGTCTATGGCCCAGTCATAGTGAGTCTTACTTACATTTAACATTGATATCAAACTTGCTTGTTGCAATAAGATCCCACAGCTGTGGAGTACCTGTTTGCCAATGAATGCAGACAATGACATTCTTCATCACCGTGTTAATGCAATCAAGAAAGCCGAATCCGAGAAGCAAGCACAGGCAAGTTCTAAGGCCAACCAAAAGAAGGCCCTTGCTGCTGTGAAGATACAGGGCAAGGATACCTATGAGGCCAAGAAGGCTCGGATTGCACAAGAGAAGCTCGCCATTGCAGAGGCCAAAACACAAGAGAAGCTCAGAATTGTGGCTGCCAGGCAAGCTGGGAAGGTTAGACTTGCAGCTGAGAAAAAGCGAATGCTGCCGCAAAGAGGGTGAGTTGTACTGCATTTTTTCAATGACTCATCACATCTGAACACCACTTTAGGCTTCAAAAAAATGCAAGGCAACTATGCAAACAGTTGAAGATCTGCCTGAAGGACAAATATGACCGCCTCCCATTGCTCCAGGTTCCATACCAATACTGGAGTCAATGGTAGAGGATGCAGAGGATGCAGAAGCAAACTTGAAGTTTTCGCTTCACCCTGATGACCCTGCTAACTTCTTGAAGCTCTGCGCAGCCCTGCGAATTCTCATCAGACGCAAGCTCTGTGATGACGATATCAGTCGAGCTGAGCTGCTTATCTCACAATATTGCAGGGAACTTATACATGTAAGTTTCATTGACACCGCTGCCAACCTACATCTACAACAACTAACTCTCCATCTTTATCTAGCTTTATGGATCTGGTGCACTCAAACCAAACCACCACTATGCGACTCATGTTGGCACTTGCACGCACAATTTGGTCCTCTCCATGACTTCTGGATGTTCTTGTTTGAGCGCCTCAATAAGGTTTTAAAGTCCTTTAAGAGTAACAACCATGCACATGGTGAGCTAGAGACGACCTTCTTTAAGGAATTTCAAAGGACTTGTCAGATTGGATGACTGATAAGTTAAATGTTGTGTTTTTCTTGTCACTCACAATGTCTAGATATATACATTGCAAAATTCTCCAAACAAGACACTGCCAAGTGAAGCAGCACAAACGATGCTGAAGGGGGACAGTTGCAGCACTCGCCAAATTGTCACAAGACCTTGATGATGCTGATATGGATGGTACATTAATTTGTTTGAAGTTATGTTACAACTACCACAGGAAATATACCTAGCCAGTCAAGCTTATGCTCTGAGTCCTCGACACCACAAAAAACAAATGTCTACAGAGACATATCGACTCCTTGCATTTACGATATACCATCTTTTTCCTTTGACACCAGTTCATTGCTGTTCCAACCACGCAGTAGTACCCCACAGCCTCCCACTCAATTGTGATGCAATCTTTTTCGATTATGTGGTAAATGCTGGTAAGTGCTACTATGCTTCCAGAACTGTTGGTACAAATTAGTCCTCTCTGGTTCACACGATCATCCCCAGTCCAAGCCCTGTTCATGCTTATGGTGAAGTTCTTGAGATCTTCCAGTTCGATCAGAGGTTTTGTGCAGTAGATGAACCACTCTGGCTTGCCTGCATGTGATGGTTTGTACCATGGAGGGGAGAGTGTGAACAAGTGTGGAGTGATTTGTGAGTTGACCAACTCATAGTATCAGAGTCAGAAACTCATATTCATTTACCTAGCTATTCAGCAGATCTACGCTTGTGGAAACTGGGAGAGTACACAGACCAAGAGACCCAACTCCCACTTCTTATCGACCCTGACTGGATTGTTGGTCAGCTAGGGATGACAACAGTCTCAATTGGAGAGGACAGAACCAAGGTTTGGGCAACAATTGATCTTTCGAAGATATGTTTCTCATTAAAAGGCTATATGAAGACTGATGATTATACAGTGATTCACACCTTGAAGCATTACAAGAATTACAAAGGCATGTGCTACAGTCGGTGATTAAGTGCTTCTAAGGTGACCAAGCTGCAGACTCATTAACTTACTCACGTCCAAACCCTACCACAACTGCTTCATGTTACATTCATTGACTCACTCTGAGTCACTTGCACCATCCTGCTTGATGTGCCACTTGTTGAGCTCCACCAAATAGTCCCAGTCTTCCTCAAGGAACTCCTCTTTGTCTGTCCGACCCCAAAACCCTTTGAGCCACTCAACCCCTTCAAGCATCTTCATATCTGGGTGAGTTTGCCTCCATTTATCGGCAACCATGTTCTCAAATGGCAAGTTACCCTTGGCAGATTTTGGTGTGTGGTTGATCATTTGATTGGGGTTGAGGTCAAAGGTCTTCTTTATCAACTTCTTGTCCCAGCCCTCTGTGGTCCTGCGACGCTTGTTCAGACACTCAGAGGTTTGTTGATTCAAAGTTGTTGTGTTGTTGGTATCCAATGATGTCTTCTTGCTGTTGTCTGCTGGATTCCTCATGCTTCGGAGTGTTAGGAAGTGCAAAAATGAGACATACTAATCAGCAAAGGTCAGTATTCACTGTGGAAATGAGAAACAAATGCTCACATCAAAAGAACACCATTCCAACCCTATCGCCATGTTTGCACCTTTGCCTGCTCCAGACTTCACTCTCCAGCTCAACTTGTCCTCGCTCAGATTACCCTCGTCATACAACAAGATGTTGGATGCATAATCTGTATCTATCATCGCAACTGCTCCAGTGTTACCAGTCTCTTTTTCCCAGTCGACTGCTGCTAGCCGACAGTTTTTTGTAGCCTGAGTAGTACAGTAAGTTATATCTGATTTGATCACAAATGTTAGACTTACTGTTTGACGACGAGTCCACTGATGAATTTGATCCTTCTTCTCTTGGGCCTTCTTGGCCTTGTCGACATCGCTACAGCTCAACACCTGCTTGTGTATGTTACGAAAGTAATCCTTTGTGCATTGCATAATGACCTGCATATTAAAGTCCTCATCAGGGATCTCCCCCTTCGCATGGAGGCTTTCACAGCAGTGCTACGAAATTTGTGAGAGCTTATGACATGCTTTGATGGTGCTTACCTTCTCATCATTATAGACACACTCCACAACTTCTTTTATGAACTTTGCATTCACGCTCTCGTCTACTTGACCCATCCAGTTTGGGTGCCAGATCACCTTGTCCGTGGATTTGCTTCTCTTGTAAGGCTCCCCACTATCCAGCGGTTTTATGGCTCCTAATGCCTCTGGTCACTGGTTTCTATTCAAGGTTGTGTCGATTCCGCAAAGATTACAAAGCATCAGTGGGATCAGTTGCTACAATACATGAGTTTTTTAGTGTTGTGCAATATCTTCATGCTTACTTTTAGTGCGGGATGATCATTGGAAATGTCTTTCCCAGTGGACTTCTTGTGCGATTTCATAGTAAGTTGCGATAGCTCAGTCTGCATGGTTTGAAATTGATGGGTTAAAGTCTTCACATCTGAGGTAAGTGCTTCATCAGCAACAGAGCATTGTGCATTAACCAGTAGAGTTTGCTGGTTGCTCTCTTCCAGCTTCGCTACCACCAAGACAAGTTTCACAACCATAGTGTTAAGATTCTGCAATTGTTCATCATGCATATGGGAGCCATGCTGGTATGGACCTTGATTCATTTGCGGTGCTGCCTGTTGCTGACAAAACAGATAGGGTTGTTGCTGATAGTCGTCTGGAGAACAACTATGGTCGCCAGATCTCATACTAAGTGGTGCAGGTGTCTGCTGCTGTCCACCACCATATAAAAACGGCCCTTGGCGACGAAGATCTGGTGATGGTGTAGGAAATCCCTGGTGACTGAGGTCTGACGATGGTGTAGGAAATCTCTGCAGGTGACCAAGATCTGGTGAAGGGGTAGGGAATCCCTGACTGCTTGCTCACAAATCATCATGCTGCAGTGGGCTATTCCTGACACCATGCATCAGGAAAAACCTCTTTGTGATATTAGTGACAATTTGAGAAAATCCGGTCAAACCTAGAAAATCAGTTGGTGTTTTCTCAAATGCGTGAATAAAAGGTCCAATATTCGACAATGTCAGTAAATGTGCACACTCCCAAAAAGAATTCAGACGATGTTAGAGAATTTTCTTGACACAAGATACAAGCATACAATTATACTAATTTACGTATACCATGAGCAGCCAGTTGAACTTCCAATAGATGCGCCTTTCTCGCCTCCTCACACCATTTTATTTCAGCATCCCAACGATCTGTGACGAGTCTATACATGTAATTCTGAGAGACTGTTAGAGGGGCTGGAGTCTGACAGTAGGGTGGCATGGGAGTATGAGGTATTTGAGTTTGAGGTATTTCTGTGACCAGGGTAGGAAAAATCCCAAATTCTGGGATCGGAAATCTGCGCGTCAACAGTTTTTTAGTCCTGGTACCTTGGTGAGAACCTGCTCATACAATGATATCACTAACAACTTACCTTTTGATAGGCGAGTTTTTGATGGGCGAGTTCCCATCCGGAGAGTCCTGGCAAGGTGAGCATGGACTATAGATTACGATCAGATAAGAGAAGCCATCATGTTACCATAAAAAACACCCACTCACCACTTTTCAGGAATCCAATTCTCCTTCTCCGCCACAGAGTCCTGTAACACTGTTAGTTAAAGTTACCATACCATATAAAACCTTCGCACCATAAATATAATGCACAGGGGACACAGAAGAAGAATGAGATGACATTCAAGAGATGTTGAGAAATTTTCATGACCGTGATGTGCCAGTGTCAACTATTTGTCATCATCTCACTCGATCTGACGCAGGCTCATGCAGAACTCAAACGAAACACTCGTCATGGAAGCTTTGAAGCTGCATGGTAGACTTCTATTTAACTAAAATATAGTTACATATGCATCTCGGTCAGTAAACTCATTCACAAAGAATGTACTACACTGATCCAATACATTGCTCGTACTCCAGTCACGTGGAGTCACCGCACTGAACTTTGGTATTAAGTGGACCAAGCGTCAAATATCGTCAACAGGAACAATCCTTGCTTGCCTGTCACCATCCTGAAGCGCACGCGAAACCCTATACATGCCGTGATTGATATCTGGGGTGGCAGAGAAGGGCGTGAACCATTTGACATACACCAGGTGATCAGGTACCTTGACATTGTGAAATAGAGCATGCCTGACATTGGCTGACAATGAAAAGATCACATGAACTTGTGCGACACAATATCCTATCAGTTCTTCATCAGCCTGAGTGTCCCCGCATGCATACATAAACATGTTTGCTCACCTTTGACGCCCAACTTGCCACCATTCCCCAGATTTATGAGCGCAGTATCAAACCTTGCTGGCACTCTCCTATTATGGCCATCACATCACGCCGGTCGTGCATGTATTGCATCCACAGTGAAATGGTTTACCATGCCATTATTATCAACAGTACCATAGTGGACCTTGTGGAATACTGCAATGGACTGGAATGGGAGAATGACATCGCAGGCAGCGTCTTCTGACTGCCTCACAGTCAAATCAGGCTCCATCACTTGCATGATGAAATGTGCCACAGCTGCTTGAAAATGGACTGTGCCATAATGATCAGCCAGCGATGTGAATGTCACCTGTTTAACAGGCAGGTGCTTCGCTAGCTTGGGTTGTCGGAGATATACGAGGTTGGAGTGGGATAGGGGGCAAGGGACATGATCTGATGATGCGGCAGGTCCCACATGCAGTTGCCATTCAATAAACTTGGCATGCCACAACATTTTCTCTTGTCACTCGAGCCACAGCATCATTTGCATGTATTTGTCCTTGTGATTTGTTGCACGGTACCCATCCTTTGCTAGGTCAATGTGAAGCTGTTCAATATATTCTGTGTTGTAATTATCTGTGGTTCCGAACATGCGAATCATTGTGACGTAGTGTTGGAATGAATGAAGCTTGGGGAGGTTGAATGACGAATGGATGCCCAGGTCCACAAAGATAGCTTTGTTATCGTGAAATCGATTGAGTGCCTCATTGAGTAGTGTCAACGTTAAATCAGAGTGACATGGGTACTTGTTAGGTACCGTGCCAGCTCAAGAGGCAGAGGGGTCGGGGCTTGGCTTCAGCTCTTGCGCTGTGCCCTTAGCCGAGTACGTGCCCCAAATTTGGAGCAGGTCAAACATTGTCCGACAATAGGATGGGTGGACCGCTTGGGTCTGCTTTGAGGGTCGGGGAGTAAGAGCTACTAGCGGCAGGCCAACTAGGAGTGGAGTGGAGAAGGTGGGAGTGATGTGGAGGGTGGATAGGAACAAGGGGAATGTTTGGTAGGGTCGGGGAAGGTGGAGGATAATGCGGAGGGACAAAGGAGAATATTTGATAGGGGCAGAGTAATAAGGGAAAGACTTAGAGCACGGCTCTAAGTTGGAGCGGAGGGTCGGAGGGTCGGAGGTGACAACAAGTTGAGACTTGTGTCCAGAGGAGGCAAGGTCCTACTGAGAATTCTCACAAGAGGTAACTGCGAGAAGACAAGTAATATTAAGACTGAGGAAAATAAAAGTGAGTACTATAAATACAAGTGAACTTTGGTGAATGCCCCAAATAAAATCGAGTCAAAAGATGAAGGCAATAAGAATATCGATAGCGTGAGATCGAGTCAAAAGATGAAGGCAATACAAATGAATTCTGTCAGGTGAGTCATGGTCAGTCCATTTTCTCTTTCTCTTTTCCTTTCCCTCCTTTCGATTTCTTTTTGGCGGGGCTGACGGTGATGTTGAATGTAGAGAATCCGGTGATGGCAGAGTCGTCTTTCGACATGTCAACGGAGGTCGTGGAAAGGATTGGGATGAAACATTCTTCGACAGGTTCGTCAGAAGAATTCAGGACCTTCATGGCTTGCACGCTGAGCTGGAAAGTCTGAAAGGGTCTGTTAGTAACCGTTTCGATCGACATTGTTTGGTACACACGCTGATCGGTTGGCCATTCTGCACCATGTTGTATACGTGAGCATCGCAGACAGCAAGAACGAGTGTTTCGGGTCTTAATTTTGAGTAAGTCTCATGCATAGGAATGTGCTTGAAACCGTCCTCTGTCGAGTCATAGATATTAAGCTGTTTCAGTTTGTTTTGTTGCAGCTGAAAATACGACCCACAGTAGTCAGGGAGGATCCTTGGGTCATATAGTGTTCCTGGACTGACTTTGTCAAAGTGAGTGACTTTTGTGAAGGAGCATAAGGATCACGAATACCTTTATCCAGAGCAGGTGTTGGAATGTTTGTGCTCGTGCTTGAACTCGCTGTGGAGTTTGTCAATACTGCCATGTTCTGCTGTCCTACCATACTGTCCTCCGTGTTCTTTTGTTTTGTTTGTCGAGGTGTAGTATCCTGGTTGAGGTTGACGCCTTCTGGTTTCTGTGAGAGGTGGTAAGTGACAGTTCAAGTGGAATTTTCTGGTTTCTTTCTCACCTCATAGATGTGTTGCGATGTTGGCATGATAAGGTCCGCATATTGGAGATCATTGGTACTCTTGGTGATGCAAGTGTTTATTTTCGAACCCTGTTGAGTCTGTTAGTTATTGTACAGTGTTCTGCTTGTTACTGACCGTCGCCGCTCTCTTGCTTTCTTCGGCGATCCAATCCTCAATTGATGTCAGCTGATTCTCCCAAATGTCCATCAGATTCGGGGAGCATAGTGTTGGTTTGGAAAGCGCCCATTTCCATTTGACTGTGTCTGAATCGCTTAGCGGTACATTCTCATTTTAAACGTCAGATCGCATTCATATCTATGAATCTGTAGCAGACAGACTTACCTTTTTTGTGAAGTGCATGCCTTTCGTGGAATGCTTTGTGCCGCATGTCGAAGTGGCAATTTGGCCAACAATGTTGGTCCTGAATGGACGACCGTCCTTAGTGTTGACATACGACCAGTTGGTTCCGCTGTAGTTGTCTTGGACAGTGGTCGTCCAATCGATGCCGAAGTCGGCTTCGCCCAAGCCGTCTTTTCCAAGGCTAGTGATGGCATTAGCGACACGGTTGTATACGCCATTGGCAACGCATTGCGAGAAGCATTTGACTTCAACATCAGCCGAAGACATGGTGGTGGTTTGAGTGAAAGAGTTGATGATCTGTATTACATCGAACATTATCCTTAAATAAAAAGAGGTAGGGATTACAAGGGTATGACGCACAGTAGAATGTGTCATGTTGCCGCTGACAAAATTCGATCTCGTCAGCAGTCAGGACATCCTGCGATGTTTGGTACGTTGTGAAGGAAGTCGCGCTGGTTGAGGCATGGGATTTTCACCTGTTGAAGAACAGGTGGATGCCTGCGTGTCTGCATTGTTCCCGTCGTCTTCAAGACTCGGGCGCTTTCTCTTTTTTCGACGAGAAGGTGGTTGTGTTGTCCCGGGTTGGGTGCCTGCTGTGTTTTGGATTAACACGATCACTTGTTGTAAGTTGTTTAATGTGTTGGCTCCATGTTCTTGATTACATGGTTCATCTTCTGTGATAGGCATGGACAAGGATGGTAATTGGTTCCATGCTTGTTTCTGTTGTTCTTTGTTTGCATATGGTGTGTCTATGATGGTCTTTAGGTTTAACACGTCTAGTCGAAGCATTTCTTGTCGGACGTCCTGCGATGGGTGAGAGCAGATAACACTGTAATTGAATGGACGAAGAACGAATAAACTTTGCAGAGACATCGCACGCGATACCATTACATATGGTTTTTAAGCACCTCGACACCATTTAGAGCCGAGATTGACAATTATTTTCTCAAGTGTCTGTCCTTGCAACTTATGTGCCATGATCACAAACCCTGGAAGTACTGGTACTTGTGTCCGACTGATTTGACACATTTTCTTAGGATTGGGGTGGGTGAATCTGAGCTCTATGAAGTCTTCAATTATTGGGATCTGGTGCGGAGACAAGTTCAGGAGCACTTCATCTGATGAATGACTAATTTCCACAATGCAGGATCGTAAGACCTGTTGTCCTTCATTGTTCAGTGAGTACCTGACTTTCCTGAGCTTTCCTGTACTGCCATTGACAATTCCACCTTCAACATCAAAGTTCTGAGAGATGAGGATTGGCATGCCAATTACCAGCAGAATTTTACCAAGGCGCATGTTCATTTTTCCAGAATTCAGACACTGCAGTTTATTCACAAGAGTTTCGTCATGCAGTATCTTTCCTTGATGTTTGTCTGTGCAATGGTACCAATGAAGCATGTGTCCGGTCCTTTTTGTGAATGCCATCGTCATTCTGATATTCAGCTCATCTTTACTTTCATTATCGCATACAATAATAGGAGCATCTTTCCAGGCACAGTCACCTTCCTGTCTAGCGCTATTGGTGATCACTCTAGACTGTAAAAGTCGGTAATCATCCTGCATACATTTTCCTTGACGGAGGCGTGAAAGGAACTCAATGAATCATTCATTCTCAGTACCTGACTGACGCATTACCGTTTTCAACAGGACGACGGTCTTTACGGACAGCCAGAGCAGCCTTCCGAATATGTTTTTCTGACCTTGTGTAGTTCTACAGCATCGAGTGTCGAGGTGGGCATATAATTGCTTGCCACTTACAGGTGAAAGCCGGGCAAAATCTCCAGCAAATATGATGTTGATCCCTCCAAAAGGTGCAGTATTCCCTTTTGCATCTACTAGTGCATTATGAATCTTAGTTAAAAAATCGCAGATTATCATGGATACTTTGTCTATGAATAAGTAGTTGATCCCTTCCCACATTGCAGTGAGGTCTCGTTTTGTCTGGGTGTTTGCAGTTGACAAATGCCTTTGATTTAACAAGAGAGAAGCATGTAAAGTCATACCCGAGATATTTCGAGTGGCTACTCCCATGTATGAGGCGAGTCTGAATCGTTGTGTTTGATTCTGTCTGATGAAAAAGTCTTTTAGGGCATTGATGACTCTCGATTTCCCTGTTCCTGCAGGTCCTCCGATGAACATCCTTAATGGCTCTGGTTTGTTCAAACGACTATGTTCAGCTATAATTTTAAATGCTCAGGATTGCTCATCATTCAAGGTCCAGTCTTCGGCGACACGTGTACTATTTAGGTCGCAATATGGATCTATGAGCCCCTTCAGTGACAAATCCCATACTATACGGGTCACCCGACCTACATAATATCCTGTGTAATACAGGCCAGCGGATTATGGGCCAATGTTATGTATATTCCTGATGTTGACAGGTGGGCTGGGAGAAATATTATTTCCGATGTTGACAGGTGGGCCCATCTATGCTGATGTTATATATATCATCGACGATGGCAGATAGGCTGGGAGAAATATTATTATGGAGATGGGTGGGCCCATGTGGGTAATATGTAGAGTAGGATTGACATATATTATAGACCTGAGGAGAGATGTATAGCAAATATTATTATATAGACGGGTGGGCCGATGTATTAGTATTATTTTGTAGACGGATGGGCCGAGGGAGCAGTGGAATATTTATTACGTAGATGGGTGGGCCGACGTAGGGAAATATTAGATAGACGGGTGGGCCGACGTGGGGTATTTTACTTAGACAAGTGGGCCAAGGGTGAGGCAAATCATTTATTACATAGACAGGTGGGCCGAGGTGAGGTGAAATATTTATTATATAGACAGGTGGGCTGACGTGGGTTAATATTAGATAGACAGGTGGGCCGAGGGTGAGGTGAATTATTTATTACATAGATGGGTGGGCCGACATAGGGAAATATTACATAGACGGGTGGGCCGAAGTGGGGAATTTTACCTAGACGGGTGGGCCAACGGCAGGTAATATTAGACAGATGGTGTTACAATGGCGCTATATTTTCTTTTCTCTTTCTTTCTTTACTTACTCATCAAGTCTCGTGACTGCTTATCAACACGTCCAACACGTGAACGCTTACCTATATGCTTACTCATTATGCTTACGCAGATGATTACTCATACTGTTCCCTGATTGGTCGATCCAACATTGTACCATATCTTATCTCCTTTTCTGATTGGTTGATATTCTCTTCCTATTCTCGCTTACCTTTCTTGATAGGGTCATCTACCTACAGACCGGCCCTAAACCACCTTCTTGTTACATATATATATCACGTTTCCTGTACTTGTATTCCTTAACTTGAATCTACTAGGTTCTCTCCTGATACTTTGAGTTCACCGATCTAGCTGCCTTCCAAGCAGACTAGCCTGAATACTTGATCTAGCGAGCCCTTGACACTCGACTAGCCTGAACCTTTGATCTTAGAACTCGTGATACACTTCAGCCTTGATCATCCTTTATTGGAACGCTGAAGAAGAACTATCCTAGTCGCAACAGATGGGTGGGCCCAGATACGTATCATATAGACAGATAGGCCTAGGTATTGGTATACTATATCCACAAAAGTGCTGAAAGAGAACCAGAGAGCTGCCTCATGTCAACTCAGACTCAGCGACGAGTGATACTAATAAGATCACAGTCACGTTTCACCACAGTGCTCGTCAATCGAAACATCTTCATTGAGTAGATAGATACCAGACAGCCTGAATACACCATGTTTGACATTCACCAAGTAACGAGTACCGAGTACTGAACCCTGAAACCCAAAACCGGAGCCCCGAACACCCAGACTGGAGGCTCGAGAGAGACTCAACTCAAAATTCAAACCTCAACTGGAAACTCATACATTTTTACGAGTTTCAAGTTGAGTACCAACACCCGACACCCGAGTACCAAGTACCGAATCTCGGGTGTCAGTACTCAGTACTTGGTGATTCGAGTCTCGGGATTCGAAACTCAGATTTATACGAGTTTCAAGATTCAAGATTCAAGATTCGAGTGTCGAGTTTCAAGTCGAGTACCGACAGCTGACACCCGAGTACCGAGTACCGAGAACCGAGTACCGACACCCGAGATTCGGTATTCGGTACTTGGTGATTCGAGTCTCGGGATTCGAAACTCAGATTGGTGCGAGTTTTGAGTTTCAAGATTCAAGATTTGAGTTTCGAGTTTTGAGTCAAGTACTGACACCTGACACCCAAGTACCGAGTACCGAGTACCGAGTACCGAGTACCGACACCTGACACCCGAGATTCAGTACTCGGTACTCGGTGAAATGTGTACAGAAATACAAATGTAAGATGATACACATGAATCACCGAGTACCAAGTACTGACTCGGATCTTAACCTATTGATGTCGTGAGACCATGGATAGACTCCCCTAGACAAGGGCTACAACTTTGGTTTTCATCAAAAAAGTTCCCATGGTCTACAATATTGAGTCCCAAGCACCGGGCACCGGGCACCAGGCACCGGGCACCGAGTACCGAGCACCAAGCACTGAATACTCGGTACTCGGTACTTAGTACTTAGTTCCCGGTACTTGATACTCAATGCTGAATATCTTGGTACTCAACTGAGCACCAAGCACCAAGCACCAAGCACCAAGCACCAAGCACCAAGCACCAGGCACCGGGCAGATATTTATCTAAAAAGTTCCCACAGTCAAAGTGCTTTCTTGAACCCTCCATTTGCAAGTATTTTGCTTGTATCTTACTAGGATCTTGACCTATTGATGTCGTGAGACCATGGATAGACTCCCCTAGACAAGGGCTACAACTTTGGTTTTCATCGAAAAAGTTCCCACGGTCTACAATATTGAGTACCAAGCACCGAGCACCGAGCACTGACTACCGAGCACCAACTACCGAGCACCGAGCACCAGGCAGATATTTATCTAAAAAGTTCCCATGGTCAAAGTGCTTTCTTGAACACTCCATTTGCAAGTATTTTGCTTATATCTTACTAGGATCTTAACCTATTGATGTCATGAGACCATGGATAGACTCCCCTAGACAAGGGCTACAACTTTAGTTTTCATCGAAAAAGTTCCCACGGTCTACAATATCGAGTACCGGGCACCGGGCACCGGGCACCGGGTACCAAGCACTGAATACTCGGGACTCGGTACTTGATACTCGATGCTCGGTACCTACTCAATACTCAATACTTGGTACTCAGTACTTGATACTCGATGCTGAATATCTTGGTACCTACTCACTACTCAATATGTACCTTAACACTTTTGAACCCTTCATTTTCGAGTATTTTGCTTATACCTCACTAGGATCTTAACCTATTGATGTCATGAGACTATGGATAGACTCCCCTTGACATAGACTACAACTTTGATTTTCATCGAAAAAGTTCCCACGGTCTATAAAATTGAATACCGAGCACCAAGCACTGAATACTCGGTACTCAGTACCTACTCGATACTCAAAACTTGGTACTTGGTACTTGGTACTCAGTTCCCAGTACTTGATACTCAATGCTGAATATCTTGGTACTCAACTAAGCACTGAGCACACTGAGTACCCACTACTGAGCACCAAGCACTAAGCACCAAGCACCCAGGTATGGGGTCTATTTCTATGTATATTGGTAGTAGATACATCATATAGATAGACCAGGACACCTACATGATCCTTCCATAGGAACAACACTTGACAAATCACAATTGTGACATTTTGATATGTTTTACCACCCTACCCTTACACAGATTATCCAAGTTACTCATAGACTGTCATTATTACATTTATTATGCTAAGGATCAGTGATATTTAGGCCGGAAATTTGAGATCTGATGTAAAGGGGATATTTCTACTGATCAAAAGCCCACATGGTAAATGATAGCCTTAAAGGCTTAGAAAGATCCATCCAGGATTGAGTGAATGACAAGCAAAACAATATACATGTGAAAAGTGACAATTGACATCTGTTCACACAAAGTCACATTTATATATGATACAGGTTGAAGATTTCATTAAAAATGTGTAGGATACATGGTGGAGTGTTGGTGGGAGGGATGTGGCATAGAAGTGTTTGAATTGGTTGCCCATAGCCAAGGATACACCAACTGACCATTTTCGATGTTTGGGGCATTTGAGCTTTGACGTTTCCCACACTCAATTTCTTATCTATTTCACTTCCCCAGCTCCCAATTCCTGGTGGATCTTTCTGTAATTTTAGATCCATCATACTGAATATATGTGAAATATACTCTAGGTGTCTGATCATTAAAGTTCAATAATTCAGAGATACGGGCCTTTTATCAGTAGAAATATCAAGTATATACACCATCTCAAAGCAACAGTATATTTTGAGCTGATCCTGGTCATGAAAAGCAAGTATATATGCTATGCTAATGATATATGAATATATTGGATTATTTATGCAAGGATAGAGCAGTCAGAAACATGAGAAATGTGAAACACATGATTTATCAATTTTTGTTGCTGTAGAAGGATCGTGTAGGTGTCCTGGTCCAGTGATATAATGTATCTGAGGGAGGGTACACTATACAGGTACTTGAGTATCAAGTAAGTACCGAGTACCAAGTATTCAGTGCTTAGTGCTCAGTACTTGATACTCAGTACTCAATACTTGGTAGTCAGAACTCAGTGCTCAGTGCTCAGTGCTGAGTACAGAGTATTGAGTATTGAGTATTGAGTAGGTACCAATTACTGAGTGTTGAGTGTTGAGTATCAGGAAGGTACTGAGTGCCAAGTATTCAGTGCTTGGTGCTTGGTACTCAATACTCGGTACTTGATACTAAATACCAAATACTTGGTAGTCAGTACTCAGTGCTTAGTGCTCAGGTGAGTACCAAGATATTCAGCATTGAGTATCAAGTACCGAGTACCAAGTATTGAGTATTGAGTAGGTACTGAGCATCGAGTATCAAGTACCGAGTACTGAGTATTCAGTGCTCGGTGCTCGGTACTCAATACTCAATACTCAATATACTAAATGCTCGGTAGTCAGTACTCAGTGCTCAGTTGAGTACCAAGAGATTCAGCATTGTATACTGAGTACCGAGGTCTGAGTATCAAGTAGGTACCAAGTACCGAGTATTCAGGGCTCGGTGCTCGGTACTCAATATTGTAGACCGTGGGAACTTTTTCGATGAAAACCAAAGTTGTAGCCCTTGTCTAGGGGAGTCTATCCATAGTCTCATGACATCAATAGGTTAAGATCCTAGTAAGATATAAGCAAAATACTTGCAAATGGAGTGTTCAAGAAAGCACTTTGACCATGGGAACTTTGTAGATAAATATCTGCCCGGTGCCCGGTACTCAGTGCTCGGTGCTCGGTACTCAATATTGTAGACCGTGGGAACTTTTTCGATGAAAACCAAAGTTGTAGCCCTTGTCCAGGGGAGTCTATCCACAGTCTCATGACATCAATAGGTTAAGATCCTAGTAAGATATCAGCAAAATACTTGCAAATGGAGTGTTCAAGAAAGCACTTTGACCGTGGGAACTTTTTAGATAAAATCAAAATTGTAGCCCTTGTCAAGGGGAGTCTATCCATAGTCTCATGACATCAATAGGTTAAGATCTACCAATATATTCAGCACGAGTACCGAGTTCCGGGTATCGAGTACCCAGTGCCGAGTGCTGGGTTTTGGCACTTGGTACTCAATGCCTGGAACTCAGTACTCGGCACTCGGTGCCCAGAACTTGGTGCTTGGTACTTGGTGATTTGTTCAATTTACGAAATGTTGTATTTTAGTTTTGTGTTTCAGTGCTCAATGCCCAGAACTCGATGCCTGAAACTCAGTGCCCGGAACTTGGTACTAGGTACTTGGTGATTTGTTCAATTTACAAAATGTTGTATTTTAGTTTTGTGTTTCGGTGCTTGATGCCCAGAACTCAATGCCCTGAACTCGGTGCCCAGAACTCGGTACTTGGTGATTTGTTCAATTTACAAAATGTTGTATTTTAGTTTCATGTTTCGGTGCTCGATGCCCAGAACTTGATGCCCGGAACTCGGTACTCAGTACTTGGTGATTTGTTCAATTTATGAAATACCCGGAAGTCAATATTAGTTACCTGTAACTCGATATTAGTTACCCAGACATCAATAGATGTTACCCAGAAGTCGATATTAGTTACCCGGACATCAATAGATGTTACTCGGAAGTCGATATTAGTTACCTGGAACTCAATATTATTTACCCGGACATCAATAGATGTTACCTGGAACTCAATAGATGTTACCCGGCCCGTGGATATGATATCAACCATCTCAGCCCACCCGTCTATATAATATACTACCACCTCGGCCCATATGTCTATATGATATGTATCTGGGCCCACCTGTATATGTGATATCCAACTACCTCGGCCCACCCATCTATATAATATCTAATAAATTGCTCTCTCGGCCCACCCGTCTATATTATATACCCCCACGTCAGCCTACCCGTCTATGCAATATATCACTACCTTCGGCCCACCTGTATATATAATAAATATTTTACCGCTCCCTTGGCCCACCCGTATATATAATAAATATTTCACCACTCCCTTGGCCCACCTGTCTACAAAATAATACCAATATGTCGGCCCACCCATCTACAAAATAATCTTAATTTGTCGGCCCACCTGTCTAATATGATATATATCTGGGCCCACCCATCTATGTGATAACAAGCACCCTTGACATACCCAGCTATTTGATACACATCTACCTTGGTAAACCCATCTACATAATATCCAACTACCTCAGCCCATCCATCTATTGAATATTCATGTCCATCGGCCCACTCATCTACTCTACATATTCCCTACATGGGCCCACCCATCTCCATCAGGAATAATAACACTCCCGGCCCATCCGTCATAGTCGAGGATATATCTACCTTCGGCCCATGGTCCGCTGGCCCGTATCATATGAGATATTATGCATGTCCGTTCACTCGTATAATATGGAGATATGTTACTGCAATATGTGGATCTATCGCATGAGTATGACTTTGAATGTTAGGAACAAGCATGTTGTTCGTCTCAAATGGTCTTGCTTCAAATGTCTCAATGGTCGTTAACGGCGTGTTTTTGTTGGCAGGTGAAGTTGACTTAATAGGATCCTCGATGACCTGGTTTCTCTTCCATTTCATTCGTCTCTTTTCATAGCAGTCGCGCCAATTGTTTTCTTGTGAGATGTCTTGAATGTTCACTTCTGAAGTCTCACAATTGTCTTCTTTGTTATGAACAGAATCATCCAGGTATGAAGCATGCGAGAGAGCATCGAAAAACTGACATGAATTCATATGCTGTAAGCAGCAAATCAAATCGTCATTGATTGTAGATTGACATATAGAACAACAGGAGTCCATGGATTCTAAGTGTGTGAGTATGTCATCGTCTGTATTGTCTATGAAAATGTCATCCTCCTGAGTACCATGGCTGTGATTGATCATTTTGGTAGATATTCCAGCTAGTTTATGTCGAAGTCGCCAGTTGGCGAAATGGTCATCCTGACTGTCCTTACACTTGTGCAGTATCTGCATATTGTTCAAGATAGAAGTAACAGCAGACGAACAGGTATGCTGGAACGCATCAAACGCTTCGGTCCATGACTGAGTACTTTGCTTAAGGTCAGAAACGGATCTCCAAGGCTTGAAGAGAATGAGCATAAAGTGACAATACTTAGGATATATGGGCTCTTGATCTCAACGAGGCATGTGAGGTCCCATGGGAACAGGTACGAGTCGATTTTTCTGGCGTCTTACTTGCAAAAAATGAGTTCACGATTCATAGTGCCCAGCTTGTAGTTCTCTGAAAGGTCGTTCTTTTGATGAGAATTGAAGGAGCTCCTCTATCGGAAGGGGTTGATGTGTATCTGTTCATGTTCCTGGCGATTTTTCGATATCCATGTTTTCGTCAGGTTCATTATCACTCATAGATTCCTCAAGTTCATCTTCGCACCGGCCTGAGTGGTCAATATCATCATCGTCATCTTCATCATCATTGTTCACGTCATCAAGCTTCGATTTCTTCTTTTTCCTGGAGTTTTTCACCTTGTCAACCTGAGCCACAAAATCCCATATGCATATATTGTTAAATTTCTCGTCTCGGTGGAGGTAATCCATCACTTGAGCAGCTTTTGGTACGAGATTGCCAAAGTTATCACTGTCGATTCTAATTTCATCATTCTGAAGTTGTTCAACATATATCTCTTCATCATCCAGGACTGCTTGAACATGTTTTTGCTGCAGGTCCGATTCCTCGTCAGCTGCATCCAGTATGTCGTCTCTATCATTTTCATGGTTGTCAGTAATTTTTACGCCATCAATCTCTGACGATGGGCGGTTGCATTCAGGGCTTGGACTGCATTGTTCTACAAAGGATTCGAAGTTTGTCCAGTATAACCTACAGTACTCATGGCTTGTGAAATGGTCCTCAAAATCCATGAGGTACGAACAGACTTGTTGAGCCGACAGTTCTTGATGAGATATCATTGAATGAGCGCATTTTTGTAGCAATCTCTTGGCTCGTACTGTGCATTCGTCATCGTTTGGGTTGTACACTTCCAATTTGTGTATTGCCATCTCCATGGCAGCCAACACAACGTGAGTTTTCAACTGAGATTTGGTTATGTAGTCAGTAATGTAATACAGTATGGCTTTCACAGCTGGTCCAGACCCAATGAATTTTATATCCATGTTGCATCTCACGGCTTCCAGTATAGTCACATTGAAGTGGTTTACAAGTCCATCTAGACACTTCAAAGTGATCTCGCCCGTCTCTGAATCAGTAAAGCTGATCGGATGGACATTTTTTTCATCCAGATCGAAACGGCATTCTTTCGGTTCCGGCGGGCCCTTCCAGTACTTCCAGCATGTCTTTGAATGTCGGTGAGTCTGACATTTCTTAGTGAGGAAATGTATGTCTTTTTCACGCATCATCTGCAGTGAATCATCTTTCACCTTGTGAAAATTGACTCCTCGGGTAGAGCAAGGATGGGCTCCTTCTTGTGGAGGTACCGATGACTCATCCTATGGATATTCCAGGATACAAGTAGAGATGGTATCTTCCAGATATTGCAGAAGACGATCTTTAAAATTATGCTCGTCATTTTGCAATAAACGGTCTTTGATTTTGTTAGGATTCAGACCTCCTTCCAACCATACCATCATGTGAAAATGCAGTGTCCCTCGACCTTGAGCTTCGACACATCCGTAGTATGCACTAATGACACCCAGTACTCCCTCATGTAGGTCCAGACCTTTTCCTTCGAATTGCAGAAGACATCTAATAAAAGCTTTCATATAGATATTGAAAAACTTCGCTGCAACAGCAGGATTTTGCGCAATAAGTATGGATTGATCCTGGAAATTCGGCACCTGTTCTGGAAGAAGGTCATTGATATCTATTTCAGCACCAGCAAGGAATTTGATGAGAGGATTATATACGTCTGCTGGATTGATTGTGATGTAAAAACTGGGCAACCCTCAGTCGCACATTAAACCATGGATTTCATTTCACATGTTCGCTCTCGCATGCACAGAACCTGGCACATTCGAAGTTATCACTTGCACCTCCTTCATCAGTTGTAAAACATTTCTCTCATTGTCGTTGTTTGCAGAGACAATGTCCCCTCGAGCCATGTGTTCTGTGACACAATGTACAGCCCATGGTGATACAGCAGCAAGGTTGGTAGCCACAGTCGGAAAGGTATCTCGCTTGACCTTCAAAGAAGTATGTAACAGTAATTTCCGTCACTGTAAAATGTTGAATGCCATGAATAGAAACGAGTAATGTTCCTGAAAGCGACGATCAGCTAAGTTGAACAAGTGTTTGACGTGTCTCTTAATCGACAAACACTCAGAATGCAAGTGGTCTTCAAATCCTCCTAAGCCATACGGAAACAAGGTGGGATAGATCATCGGAAACAACTCGGGCTGAAAAAATTCATTGACGGGTTCAGGATCATGAGGGATCTGAACATATGCTCCACCATTATTCTTAATGTGATGAACTGCCGCTGCTCTTAGTTCATTCGCAGACACATGACCATTGATGTCAGTAACCACAACACTCTCAAAGTTAGACTGTGATTCAACAGAATGTGACACTGAATCAAACGAGTCTTCCAATTGGACTACTTTGTCTTCGTCATATCTCAAGGTCAAGGATTCCTGCTGTGGGTACAACAAGCACAGCGGAGAGAAACCAATCTACTACACAGTTGGGTCTTTGCTGCCTGCTGCCTCGCTTGGAAACAAGCACGTTCGACCCTTAAGGGGATTGCTACTGGGGAATACTAGTCTCTGTCTAAAGCGACCCTATAGGATGAAAGATCCGCAAAAGCGGATGAAACGGATAGGATGCGAAACGTACGGATTCGTCGGATGGAGCAGATGGCACTTGCGGATCGGACAGGATGCGAATCAAAGTCAAAGGAAGTTCATTAAAGGTTGGATGGATAGTGGGTATAAGTCAAAGCGACCTTCTGGTAAGGTGCAGGAAAAGTGGGAGGAAGTTACATGAAGTAAGTATTTTTCGAAAACCTCCATGCTTATAGGGTACAGTATTTTCAAGGAACATAGAGATATAGGTAGCGAGTCTAGACCGTGCCATAAGCTATCCGAAAAATACTGGAGTGTGAGAGGATATGTCTGTGTTCAGTCAGTAACAAGAAAATGCGTGTGAGTATGTACCAATGAGGTAGAATGGACGTGGACAGGACGGATGCGGCAGATGCGCGAGCTATAGGGGGAGATCCGAAGGTATCCGCATGTCATCCGAAAAGCGGATGGGTATCGGATGGAATGGATAGGTGTCAGATGGACATCGGATGGATGCCTGATGCATCGGAAAAGCGGTGGATACGAGCCTAGCGTAGGGATACTCCCTACACCGTGCATCATTAGGCAGAATATGATCAACATGAAAGGGCATCAACATCTCCTCTTCCATCGAATCCAAGATGTCGTGACTAATAGTAATGTCTTTGTACAATCGGTTGTGTTTTTTCAACCAAACTAATGCAGCGCACACTTTTTCTCTTTGCACTATTAAAGGTCTCGCTTTTTCCTGAAGCCATGCTCGAGAAGGTGGACTCAAACCTACGAAAATGACGCAAATCGGAGTGATGATCTCATCGACTGTCAGAGGCAAGATGGCGGCAATGCTTTCTGGACGCTGAGGGTAGATGATTATATGACCTTTGATTCCTCGCTGATTGGTGGAAAGTTGCAGGTTCTGGTTCTCTTCCTTGAGCTGAACAATCCAACACTTTGCACGACAGCGAGCAATCATAGCTTCCTCGACCACCATCAAATCTTTCAATTTGTCAGGTACGTCTCCTAAAAAAGTGCGATTCGTGAGGCTTAGAGCTGGTTGTTTCCCCTTCACAAGTTTTTTATGGCATACACTGCAGAGGGACAGCTGATATTTGCCATCGTCGCATTGTTTCACTCCAGACGGTTTGAGCATCAAATCATATAGTGGACTGTTCGAATCTGCAAACAGAAGTTCAGGAAGGGTACAGTCTCTGTCGAAATAATCATCTGACATATGCTGATCATCTTCTCGATCAGGTCTGCGCAAAAGAGATGAGTCAAAATCATACAGAGATATTAATGTACGTCCCGAACACAATGCACTTTTGGCACATGATGCGCACGTAAACATGGCCAGTTTTTCAAAAGAAGTTTCATCCCTGAACATCTGCACCAAACAACACTTCAATTCTGACAACGGAATCTGAGGCCATTCACGACAAAGTTGGTGTTGACAGTTTTTGCAGTCTTTCTGTTGAGCTTGTGTCTGATTTTTATTGGAGGATTTCGACTTAGCTTTTCATAGTGACTGGATATGTTTTTTCAATGTGCAACATAGTCTTCCTGTTTTTGATCCAGCCTCAAATTCAATGCCATTTGCTTTCAATAGTCGTTCCAAAGGGCGTCATTTCATATTGTTCAACACAGCTATCAAAAAAGCGATTCTACCAGAAAGCACCTCTCCTTCATTTTCACAATGGTTGCCTAACCGTTGACAGAGTGCATCACACCCTTTGAATGCTTGTAAAGAAGAATAACAAAGACCAGTACTGACATGACGAGAAATGATGTCTCGAAGTTCTTCGATGGACAAATTTGCAGGTACCGAAAGTCCATGGGCAGTTGCCAATGCATTCAAAGCTAGTCTTCGCAATCTTTCGTACCCATCAAAAAAGTTATCCACAACATGATCATTATCATTTGATGAAGATACGCCCGCTTGGGTAGCTAAACATGTTTCCACTTGGATAACAGATGAAGAAGAGGACAGATCGCCTTAAGAAAATCATTCAGTCATATCAATATGATTCAGAAGAACATGCGTACCTCCAGGCTGAACATTTCAAGTATGACCGACAGAAAAGCTGTGCTAGATCCGTCTCCGAAGGTCGAAGAAAGCGAGAGCCATCGAACCTCGCATTCACAAACACAAGCCAATCACAACCAAGCTCGACATCGCGCCCGTTCAGATAAACAGACCGAAAGGTCTGCCAAGAATTGTACCAACCGTCGACGGTAGGAATGCACACCTGGTCCAGAACTCGACTCCATAGCCATCCAATTATGATGACAACAGAATGCGGCACATTGCAACTGTGCAGA